CATTGGGAGCAACATCATCATCGTCGTCTTCTTCACCATCAATAACATCTTCACTACCAACAACAACAACCTCATCATCCTCCTCCTCCTTATCATCGTGGTTGTTGACGTCATCACCAACATCACCAAACAATTTCTACTCGCATCGTCACAATCAACATCAGCTCGTCAGACAGAGTGACAGAATAATGCACTCCATACAAATGTTGACAACAAAACAACAACAACAACAAACATACAATTCACTGATGACAACTTTTTACGACGTCACAAGACCTGCTTTTAACACATCGGCACTAACATCAACAACAACAAAATTGACAACAATGACACCAACATTAAATTTAACAGCAATAACAACAGTCACATCAATATTTGCTTCATTGATGACAACGTCAACACCGTACATCTCAACCACACTGACATCAACAGCATCAACAACAACAACAACAGCAGCAACAACAACAAAAGCATTAGCAACATTAATCACCGACCAGCCTGAACTTTCGCATGAGCAGGACAAATTGATGTTGTTTCGGCAACTTAGAGCTCCGCTACGAAAGCAATTAAATTTGAAAAATTGTAAACAACAACAACATCGACAACAACAACAACAACAACAACCACATCAACAAAATAACCCTTCTCTATATTCAAATACTTTCAATGATTCGGATGTACATTTGAATGAAACTGAATATTACACTCGTTCAAATAAAACCTATAAACAGCAGTCACAAGAACAACAACACGTCAGCAACAACTACAGTAACTTCACAATCATCAACAACATCAACAACAACAACAGCAGCAGCAACAACAGCAGCACGCAAAATGCAGATGGGCAATGCGCAAGCACGATGGATGTTGAAGACTATGACAACAAGCACTTCCTACAAAACGAACGAAACTTTCTTCAACTTCATATTCAACATCAACAACAACAAAGACACCAACAACATCAACAACAACATCAACAACATCAACAACAACATCATCAACAACAACATCAACAACAACCACAAAACAACCAAACAGCCTCACTGGCTGTTCTTCGAATCATCAGACTCGTTCGAGTTTTTCGAATTTTCAAACTCTCCCGACATTCTCGTGGTCTTCAGATTCTGGGCAGGACGGTACGAGCCAGCATGCAAGAGTTGGGACTTCTTATTTTCTTCATGGGAATTTGCGTCGTAATTTTTTCCAGCGCTGTATATTTCGCCGAGTTGGACTCCCCGTATTCCCAATTTTCCAGCATTCCGGATGCATTTTGGTGGGCGGTAGTAACGATGACGACCGTAGGATACGGAGACATGAGGCCTGTCACTCCTCTTGGGAAAGTTGTCGGGTCGTTGTGTGCTGTTGCTGGTTCGTTGTTGCTGTTGTTGTTGCTGCGGTTGTTGTTGCTGTTGTTGTTGCGGTTGTTGCTGCTGTTGTTTTTTGTGGAGATGACACCGATGATGAGGCAGACGATGAATGCAAACAAAAATGTCTAGCTATGATGCTGATTGAAAATGGTTTGAAATAAAATCGAATTGTAATTTATAACAATTTTTAACATTCTTAATCATATACTAACGTAAACCTACACTAACGAATAAACACACACACGCAAACACACACACGCAAACATACACACACGCAAACACACAAAAGGCGTCCTGACGATAGCACTTCCTGTTCCGGTGGTCGTCAGCAACTTCAACTACTTCTACGCTCTCGAGTGTAGAGAGATGGCAGCTCTGCAAGCCGTCATGGCGTCTGCCGCGAATCGATCACGTGATAATGATGACGGTGATGATGATGATGAAGGAAAAGATGATGGTAATGATGATAATGATGATGATGATAACGACGATTATGATGATGATTACGATCGCTACGGCGATTGTTTTACCGACGTTGCTTGCGATGGCAATCCTGATGATGATGATGGGGGAAGAAAAGATTGTGGTGATGATAATAATGATGTAAACAACAACAACAACAACAATATTTGTTACATGACTGCATGTTAAATGGTTGACATGCATCGGCAAAATTTAAAGTTCCGCTCCTGCAATTTTTACAGATGTATTACAAGTGCGCTCATAATTTTTAAATAAATAAAGGAGATGGAGACAAATTTATTTATTAAATCGTTAAATTTAATAGTCAATCAAATCATTACTGGAGTGAATGAATGGATGAATGAATGGATGAATGAATGAATGAATGGATGAATGAATGAATGAATGAATGAATGAATGAATAATTGATTAAATAAATGAAGTTTTATTGCAGATTATTTAAAAATGATGACGACGATGACGATAATAAAACCTTAAATCTCATTATTTCAGCATTTGATTGGTTGGTTGGTTGGATGGATGGTTGGTTGGTTGGTTGGATGGATGGTTGGTTGGTTGGTTGGTTGGTTGGATGGATGGTTGGTTGGTTGGTTGAATTTTTCTTTCATTGCTTGACTGGTAAAATGCAAAAAAGCGAATCGATCGATTGACTGATTAATATAATTAAAAAATAAAGGAATGAAACGTTGATTGATTGTTTGATTAATTGATTGATTGACTGATTGATTGATTGATGTTAATTTAAGACGAAGAAATGAAACAATAAACTGATTGGAACGAGGCACCAACCAATGTAATTATTTTTGTGTTAGTTGGTTAGACGAGCAACAACATATTAGTAACTACTTTTAAAATGAGTTAATAATTAAATGAATTAAAGAATGAATGAATGAATGAACGAACGAACGAATAGATAAATAAATAAATATTTTCGGTAAGTTTGTAAAACATATAATTAGCAACAACTAGTAAGTACACTAAATAATATATTGCATCTGATATATGAAATATTAAAGTATAAATAACGAAAAAAGAACATTTTCTTTGTTAATTTGATTAATTGGAGTTTAAAATGACATGAAATCATTTGCTGGTTGCACCATTCGCCATTAAAGAATTTTAATTTTTTTTAATTTAGAATAAATTTGAGTAAAAATTGCTGAGAATTATGGAAAATATTAATTGATTAATGATGTTATGACAGTATATATATATAAGGATCAATGTTGGAATCAGCCAGGTATTAAGAAAATCATAGAAAATATATATGTTTATCAAAATTAAGTCACATTGTGTTTGTAGTGTGTGTGTGTGGGTTTGTGGGTTGGGAGGATCAGGAATTGAGTAATACATCATCCATGGTTGATCTAAGAGGTAAGGACATAGTGACGGGTTGATCGGGCGATGACGTCAACATCTTCTCCCACATTTCCGTTTCCGGGTTGCTATGATCTGGTTAAGAACAAAAATTTTTGGCAGGCTATTTATTGGAAACAATTTTTAAATGATTTTGCTATGACATTTTTGTGCACATTGCGTAAAAGGTAGATAAAAGTAATACAACCCGATATTTAAAACGCAATTTTTCCTCGTTCGCAAGACCGTCATCACGACATGCATTCCATCGTCATCGGCTCCATGCATCATCACTTCAATCATCGTTTGCACTCCAACGAACCGCTGCCTTGCTGAAGTTTGATGCCCCCCAAGAAGTCATTTGTGAAAAATTTCTCGTGATTCCAAATTGTGATCTCCAGTCTGCTGTGCTTCAGTAGGTCAGCCCGTATCTTCGAGAAGGTAAAATGCTCGTTCCAGACCGGGTTGCACGAAGATTTGATGATGCTCGATTTCTTCTTCATCTCTGGAAGGCCGGGGGGGTGAAGGACGCTGTCAGAGATTCAATACAGTACCTCACAATACGATCCGATACGAAACAATACGATACGGTATAGTACGATATGAAATGACCATAGCCAACCATTTAACAAAAGCGTCGCACAGTCCATCTTCCCTGAATGACGTGAGAGATCTTGCCTGGATGACGTTGACTTTCAGATCTCCGATGACGTTAGAGTTCGGTTGCGTGTGGTTGCTGCTGCTCGACGCCGAGAAGCTGAGAGAAAGTTCGATCTTGCTCTCGTGGTTCAAATCCAGGATGGACTTCCATCTCTGGTGACGATGGTGTGATGATTGTGCGAGGCAGATGGTGATGGCTGTTGATATGTCGTGACGAGATTGTAGAGAAAATTTTCGAAAATGAAGATGGAAACGTTGTGACGATAGCAGAAAAATGTAGCGAATGTAGCAGGTGCATGGTGAGTAAGGGCGTGCATGATGACGACGACGACGATGATGAAACAAAAAGAAGTGTGACCTGGGCGCCAACTCCCTGCTGTAGGTGGTACCACTGGCCGTCTGCATCGTCCAACTCTACGTTCTCCAGGGGCAGAATCACCTCACCCAGAAAATCGTTCTTACCGAAAGAGTTGTGCCAAACCGTCAGGCACAAGATTCGGTGCTTCAACTCGGTTATCGGTATTTTGTACTGGATGAGATTGAAATTTTAAAAAATGTAGTAGTCAGTGAGAATTATTTTTATGATTATCAGTTTGGATGGATTTTCAGTGTAATTGAATGAAATTCACGCAATATATTTCATATTTTCTCACATATAAGTTGTCAATAGTGCTTATATTGTAACAATGCAAACAGTTTTTTTTCTGGTTCCAACGAGTATGAAGGTGTAATCTTGTTGGCAAATATTAACGACGCTGTTTTGTTTGATATTTGAGTAATGTGCAAGTTGTAGAGTGAATGCATCATACTGTCTGCATAAATAAGTGTTGAACATGCTGTTTGCTCCGGAGAGCAATTCATCAGTATTGAAATGTTCAGATGACTCCATGGATGAAATGATATGTGTTCGTAATAACCGAGTGCAATGATGGTTTTATCGACAAACCTTCAGAACTTCGTTATAAACAGGGTTCTCCGTGTTTCGTTTCGCCGTTGTCTTCCTCTTGCCCTTCCTCGTCTTATCTGGCATCAGGTAGGTCTTTATGTACCTGACAATCATTTCCAATGTGTTTATTTATTTTTAAAAATTAATCAGAGTGGCAATGGAATGTAACAAATTTAACAAGAGAAAGTTATCATCGTCATGTTTACGATATATTCATTGCGCTGGAAACTTACGGGTTTGTCTTGCCGAATCCAATGCCGGCGATATCTCTGCACTGATGGACGTGAATCTCGAGGGCTCTGGCTCGTGTATCGTACACCAGACCAAACAAGACCTCTCCAGCGATGGCCATCTTGCTTGAAAACATGCGTTCCATCGTGCTGTTTGTCGTCGGCTTGTGGCTCTTGCCCAACGAATCGTCGCTGTCGTCATCGTTGATCACACGTGGAGTTACAGACGCGGCTGCTGCAGCTGCAGGCGAGGCAACAGGAGTGGATTTTGGACGTGGCGGGGTTTTTATGAAGTCACTTTCGTCGTCGGGGTATTCAGTTTTCGATGCTGCCCTATCGTAGTCACTGTACATGCTGGCACTGCTTCGCTGGCTCTCCTGCTTGTTGCATGACGAACGATTCACGTTGAAACATGTTATTCGAATCACGTACATTCAATTTCAATTCATGGTTTTCTAAATGTTATTCTAAAATGAATTCTTACATATGCGTCCAAGTTGTCTGGTGATGATTTTTTGACAGCCAGATGCCTTCGATTTGTTGAGGATCTCTGACATTTGAATAAAATTTTTTACGGCGTTTAAATTTAAAAAAATATAAAATCAAAGTTTTTAAAATGTTTATGTAAAATTAAAAAAATGAAATAATTTAAATGACCACGTACGTTGGCAGCAGAAGAGGAATCGTTGGAATCTTCATCAGTAACAACTGAACTTACTTCATTTTTCTCGGCAGTAGCACTCTGATCGCAAGAACTACTTTCTATCTTTACATCAAGCACACCTTCATCGTCTTCCACAACTTCTTTCCTTAATGTTCTTTCAATGGATGTTGATGGAACGGTCCCGCGTGACTCTCCTAGACCGAACTTTGCCAAATCCTGTTGAACATCATCCAGGAGACTGCCAGCAGAACTCAGCATAAAATCTTTCGTTTCCATCTCATCATGCATCGACCCCAAATTGTTCCATCTTTCCATTGGTTTTTCTTTGATGTGATGTTGATCGGACGCGAATGATTGAGACTGCTGCTCTCTCAGATTGATCGAACTTTGTGGTTTCGCTGACTCACTGGTGCCTCTCTTGTACATCGTTCTTGTTTCGGTTGAGACACTCGTTCCGAATGTGGTTCGTATGCTGCTGATTTCATCAAATTTATTCTCCTCGCTTTCTGAATTTGTTTCAAATTTTTTTGAAATGCCATCAAATTCACTATGGATATCTGTGGGAAGATCAACATCGGTTCCGTGCTGGTCGGCTGTGGAGGTCTGTGCATTCAGAGAATCTGACAGTATGTTCTCCACTATATCTGCTGCAACATTTTTAACGTCATCCTCGTCTTCATTAGATGTTTCTAAAAATTTTTCTGGCGCGTCTTTCGATTCATAATTTAATTCAGAATCGTCCAAATTATCTGTCAATTTATTTTCATCTTCATCTTCTTCACGCTCATCTTTATTGGAAGCGTATTGTAACAATGCGTTCGAAATGGCGTATGCAACAATATCAGCAGCTGCATCTTCAAGGTTCTCCCTCTCTTCAAGAGAATCGTAATTATTCTCTCCTCCTGAATTCATTTCTGGGTTGTTGGAATCGTCATCAAAACGAATTTTTTTCATAATTTTATTCGCGTTTCTCAGTCGTCCATGCGATTGATTGAACGTTTCTTTCGTTGAAACATTTGCACCATCTTCATCTTCCTTCTCCTCCTCCTCATCATCTTCCTCCTCCTTTTCATCATCTTCAGAGTCCTGGGGTGACAGCTGACCTTGCTCTTCAAGGACGCAGAAGTTGGTCAACTCCTCGACCACACACACCACGATGTTCTCCACCAGTCTCTCTGCATACTTCTGGATCCTCTTCTTCGTCTTGTTGTTGTAACGTTCTTGCTGGTAACATTGAAACTCCTTTAAAAAAGTTTCCTTATCATCTTGAAAGTCCGTCAGTTCTTGCAGTTGTTGCTTTGATAGTTCTTCCAATTCTTCTGCTTGTTGTTGTGCGATCATCGTTTGCAGTGCAGATTTGTCGAGGAGGGAGTCAACATTTTGCGCGTCTAACTTCTCTTCGTCAATGTACTTCGCCAGATTTTCCAAATATTCATCCAATCTCTGTTGCTGTTTCAGTTCTAACTCTTGCTTTTCATCTTCGTGTCTCTTTAAAAGGTTCGTTTCCTGGTTGCCTAGTTCCGTCTGATATGAACGAAACAAATGTGAGTACATAAAAGTTAAGAATTGAACTATAACAAAACGAAAAATTGAAATGTAAAAACTAACAAGAACTGCCTCTAGATCATCATCTTCATCTTCGTTATCATCTTCTTCTTCATCATCTTCGTTACTTTTCTCATCACTTTCGACGTTTTCTGCCTCACTTTCACTTACATTTTTATTTTTTTCATCATCTTCATCATTGTCGCTAAAGCTTGTGGCCCGCTTAAAAGTTCCAAGCCCATCTCTTTTTTCATTCTCCTCAACACTCCATTCACCGGCTGCAGAAGTTACTTTAGGTTTTCCTGAAATTTCATCCTCTCGTTGGTCACCATTTTTTTCTCTCAGCCAAATAGGAAGACCAATTTTGAAGAGTGAGGCAGTGTTGGCTTGTGTGGAAGCGTAATAACTTTCGCTGTTTCTATCGTAGTTTGTGCCTTTGTTAACGAAAAATTCCGAATAACGAAAAGGTTGTTTCAATTTCTGTTCTCTGGCGTATGTCTCAAACTTTTTATCTTCATCATCGCCGTTGTTGTAATCGTCTTGAAAACGTTGATGCTTTTGTTGGTAACTTCGTTCTAAATGTTGTTGTTTGATGTTATATTCAACCGCTTCATCATCTTCATTATTTATTTGTGCCTTTGAAAGTTCATTCGGGAATGTTTTATTCTCTTCATTCACATGTTTCGGCCGAACTACTTCTGAATACTCTTCTTCGGACTGTACATTTCTGTGTTGATATCTTTGCTGTTGTTGCTGTTGTCTAACGCTACTGTCATCATCATTCTTAACTATATCAGCTTCTTTTTTCATTAAAATTGGTAATGAAACTTCATCAGATATCTTTTCACGATTATGAATTTCTGAAGAATCTTTGTCATCTTGCTCGTTACCATCTTCTTTTGCAGTACCTCTTATATTTTGAGAAAATCTGTCAAGATAATATTCGCCTTGATCTGGCTCATCATCATCATCGTCGTATTCCTCGTCTACATTATCATCATCATGTTTAGCTATCTTTTTCTTTTCACCATCATCATTCTGGTCGTCATTTTCATCGTCAAATTTTTCGTCATAATTGGCTTTGTAGGCTTCTTCGAAATCATCATCGGCTTCATCTTCATTTTTCAAATTATTTTTATCCTCTACCTTGCTATTCCCGACGGAGGCTGAGACACTTTCTTCCAATATGTCATCAGTTAGTTTGGAAGCCATCTCGTCAACTTCACTCTCGTCAAACATTTTTTTCTCCAGTTTCAAATCCTCTTCATGACATTTTCTCAAAATTTCGTCATCTGTTTCAACATTTTTCGTGGTTTCCAGTTTGATATTTTTGGTTTTTTCTTCAATTCTGTCAATGTTGGACTTGGTTTTGAGGTCTTGAATTGAAGAATGCTCAACATTTGATTCGATTTTAATGCTGTTCGCGCTTACAAATGATGGTTCGTTGTTTAGTTTTTCAAAACGTGAAGATTTAGTTTTAGATTCTATCTCCGATTCATCTTTCAAATTTGTTGTTCTATCTTTTACTATGCTAAATTCTCCCGTAGTTTTATTATTTCCATGTTTTTCACTTTCTTCAAGTTTATCGCTGATTATGTCAGCGTTGTTTTTCGTTTTCGCAACATTTGAAGTGGTTAGTTTTAAGGTTGTCGTCAGCGATGATGTGGCTGTTGATGTTGCAGGACTTTTACTGGTCGCTGATGATGTTGTTGATGTTTTTAATATCGCTGATGTTGTTGTTGAGGCCATTGATGCTGTTGATGTTATTGATGTTATTGATGTTGTTGATGCCACCTCATTTCTATCGTCTGCCTCTACAGGGTATAAAAGTACATTTTCCCCACCAAAGAAGAAATTGAATTCGTTACTCTTATTATTAGTTTCATCGTCTTCATCGTCCTCTTCATCGTCATCTTCATCATCGTCGTCGTCTTCTTTACCATCTTCTTCATCATCGTCGTCTTTATCTTCCTTATGTCTCTCTTCATCGTATTGTCGATCGACGATTGGTTGAGGCTTAACAGCAGCATCATCTTCCGAACGTTGATACTCTATTGTTGTTGCTGCTGCAGTTGTTGTAGTTGCTTCTGTGATGTTGTTGTGGCTGCTGTTGTTGTTGCTGAGTTTAACGTTTGTTGAGCTGTTTCCTTTGTTTGCGATGACAGATTTTGGAATAGTTTGCTGTTGTTGTCGTTGTTGTTGTTGCTGGAAGATAATTGGTTGATTTTGATTTGCTGCCGGCGATGAAGTTGAAGATGAAGTTAATTTTATTATGGACCGCTGGTGGTTATTAGTAGGCGATGATGTTGAAGACGATGTTGATGACAACGTCTTAACTAATGACGATTTAACAATTATCGGCGGTTGGTGGGCGCCTGCTTCAATGGGCTGTCGTTTCTGCTGTGGTTGTAGTTGTGGTTGTAGTTGTGGTTGTGGTTGTAGTTGTGGTTGTAGTTGTGGTTGTGGCTGTGGTTGTGGCTGTGGTTGTGATTGTTGTGGAGTTGAATCATCGTTATTATGCTTCAGTCTTAATTTAGCTCGTACTGGTTGTATGATTGATTCAGTAGAAGAAGTGAACATTTCATCCATTTGTTTGGTAGTTCTGGGGTCGGATCGTTGAACGTTTTGTTGACTATCTTGAAGTGTTTTTTGTTGTTGCTGTTGTTGTTGCTCTGGTTGTTTCGGCTGCTGATTTTCTGATTTGTTGTTGTTGTTGTTTATGTCAGTTGTTGTTGATGGCGTTGATGAATTTAATAATTGTTCTTTCTGGTTTTTCTCAATTCTAGTTTTGGTTTCGGTTTTAATTTTCGTTACATTTTGTCTTTCTTGATTTGGAGATGACACGGCAATATCTAGTTTGGAAATTTTTGTAGATGTTTGTTGTTGTTGTTGTTGTGGCAGTTGTTGGTTGTGTTCTTTGTGTATTTGGATTATATCGACGTTGTTGTTGTTTAGCACTTGAATTTGTCGTTGTTTATTTTGCTGCTGTTGTTGTTGCTGTTGATGACGGTTTTGTTGATGTCGCTCTGACGAAATAGTTTCCTCAACTTCTTCAATGGTGTTAAGGTCATCATCACTACTGTCGTATCGAACTGCTTTCATTTGTTGTTGTTGCTGCTGCTGCTGTTGTTGTTGTTTTAGCTGTTGCTGTTTTAGCTGTTGTTGTTTAATTAACTTTTGCCTTTGAAAATATTCGGCGCTTGATTCGTTGTTAGGCTGTTGTTGTTGTTGTTGTTGTCTCTCTTCTTGATGTTGTTGAGTTGACACGATGTCAAGTAATCGTGTTGGTGTCAGTGGAAAGTTAACTTCTCTAGGTGTTGTTGTTGATGTAGTTGGCGATGTTTTGGATAATGATTTGCCGCTAGTTGATGACGTCACAATCGTTGTTGGTGACTTTAATGGCGTAGTTAATTTTGATGTTGCAGTAGTTGATTGAGGTTGAGGCGATTTTGCTGCTGTTGTTGTCGCTGCTGCTGTTGTTGTTGTCGCTGCTGCTGTTGTTGTTGTCGCTGCTGCTGTTGCTTCGTTGTTTGTTACTGGTTTTGTTTTTTTTAAATCTGGAACTACTATTATTGTTCGTTTGATTATAGTTGATGATGATGATGGTGTTGATGATGATGGTGATGATAATGACAATGACGTTGTTGTTGTTGTTATAGATGATGATGATGATGTTGTTGTTGATGTATTATCTTTACTACTACTTCCTTTCGTCAAATTTCTCCACCAATCTTTGACACTGGCTTCAAAACTTTCCACTTCCGGGTTCGTTTTTACTTTGATGACGTCATTATCGTCTTCAGTTTTCACTGAAGATACTTTCGTTTCTATGTTTTCGTCACTTCTTTTGATTTCTTTGCTTTTGTCAGGTGACCGCGATGAAGAAAAGAATGAAAATAAAGATGATGTTGGTGTTGATGATGACGTTGATGTTGTTGCTGCTGCGGTTGATGTTGTTGCTGATGATGTTGTTGTTGTTGAAAATGTTGATGTCGCTGCTGATGATGTTGATGTTGTTGCTGATGATGTTGATGTTGCTGTTGGAAATGTTGATGTTGTTGCTGCTGTTGTTGTTGAGAATGTTGATGTTGTTGTTGGGAATGTTGATGTTGTTGTCGAAACATTAAATGATCTGATCGAGGTAGGAGACATTAGAGATTTATAAGAAGTCGGTGAGCCGCTTATATTCGTTCGGACTGATTTGTAATCTTCGTCATCATCATCATCATCGTCATTTTTAAAATCATCATCATCTTCGACAACATCACGTGATTTGTTAAATGGATTGTGGTGTTTATTGCTGATTTCAATGCTGGCGACGCTACTATTGTTGTTGTCGTCCGTCGTTATGATTGTCGTGGTCTTTGATGTTGTTTGTTGTTGTTGATGTTGTTGTTGTTGTTGATGTTGCTGAAGTTGTTGTTCTTGATGTTGTTGTTGTTGTTTACCCAACCAATTTCCAGATGCTATTTCATATTGTCTGTGGTATATACAAGGAAGCCAAATAACTAATTATACATTAAAAAAATCAATATATGTGAGCAAACATTAACACATATGAATGCATATTAATAAATAAGAGCAGTTACTTGTCTTGATGATATTCGATTTAATGTTAATTGAAAGCATTAGTACAAACTTGAGCTTGTGACAAAGTTTACATATCCATTGATGTATTTTACGTTGTTGTTGTTGTTGCTGATGCAATGATGTTGTTGTTGTCGTTGTTGTTGTTGTCGGCAGTAAGTTGACGTCATTGGCTTTGCAATTTTTACAGACCTTAAGTTGTTATGAAAAGGGTGGGCTTTGTTTGCTTTTTTTAATGATGAGTGTGTTGATGTTGTTGTTGATGGTCAACACGACTACAACAACAATACACAACAACAACAACAACAACAACAACAACAACAACAACACATCAACAACAACAAACCTTTTTAGAACATTCAGGACATTCGTCGCCTCGATCAAATATCCATCCGAATGTAGCGCCACATAAATGACAGCATCCACTTCCGTCCAATGGTTTCTTGCGAAACCATTTTTGGCTGTTTTGTCGCAATTCGTCTATTTCGCTTTTTAAGTTTCTTTGGTAATTTTGGTAAATAAATATTTATTTATTTAACGATAATAACTTTAAAATTAATTAATTGCTAACTGGAGTTGTTGATTTTGTTTCAATTTCAACTGGCTATCCCTTTGCAAAACTTGCAGGATTTTCAACCTTTCGACCTCGTTAAGCCCCTCCTCCTCAACCAATGAATGGACGAGGCTTGTATTAAGCCCCCCAGTCTCAACCAATGAATGACCGGATTTTGAACAGGTCGAGGTCATCTGTGAAAAAGGGGCATTGAAAATTCGTTGCTTGACGAGATGAATGAATGAATGATTGAATGAATGAATGAATGATTGAATGAATGAATGAATGATTGATTGAATGAATGAATGATTGATTGAATGCAAGAATTAATGAATGAAAAAAATGAACGAATTATTGAGAATAAATTAACAACTTTGAAAAAATTAATTGAAAACTGTGAAGATAGCAAAATGTATCAACATCAATGTTAGTGGCATTGAAGCGATAATTATCTTAGCTACGTACACACATCAATTCACACTCATACACACACACACATAAAATACACACATACATAACATACACACATACATACAAACATACAAACAAACAAATATACATTGTTGCATTTTTGTCCGCCAGGTAATATAAGTAAATAATAATGGTCTTAATAATATTTATTATTGCCAATGCAAAAGAATTCAATGAATTTATGTGCATGTACGTGCGTGTGTGTGTGTATGTCTTAATATGTGTGTGTATGTGTGCTTACATACACACATACACTTACATTACATAGAGTATGTAAATGAAACATTTGCAAAATTTGATTCAAAGTCGATTTAAATCAAAATCAGAGAGAGAGAGAGAGGAGAGAGAGAGAGAGAGAGAGAGAGAGAGACAGACGAAGGAGAAAACTTAAGAACAATGTTTGCTATATATTACGAAAATATTTCAAATATTTGATATTAATCATTTCATTCATTCGTTCATTCATTAGTTCGTTAACTCGTCATTCATTCATTCATTGGTCTGTCTATTCATTCATACGTTCGTCCCTTCATTTGTTCCTTCCTTCATTCATTCATTCATTTTTTCATTCATTCATTCATTCATTGACTACTCTGCTTATTGTTCTACTACGTTTGAGATTTGCTTTCTACCTGTCAGCAATTCTTTCAAAATTTTATGGTTGTTTGCCGTGTATGTATGTATGTATATGTGTGTGTGTGTGTGTGTTTGAACGTGAACTAAGGATCGACTGATTGATTAAAATTTTGTTGTTTCAAAATTTTAACAAAATAAAATAACAATAATAAAAAGAATAAAATTTATTATTGTTATTGTTATTCTCGCCTGAACAACGCACGGTTTCATTGCGATCTAATATTACATGCTTGCCAGAGCCTTTCATGTATGTAATACAACTTATTCAATGTTTAATACAATTTAATTATATAAAATACAACCAGTTACGATAAATAATTATACATAAAAACAAATTGTATTGATTACAAATAATATATATTAAAATTATTAAGAACATTTCATTAATGACAAATAAAAACTGACCGTAGATATATGTGCTATTGTTGGTCTGCCTTGTTTAACAGATAGGCAGGAATTTAACTATACTCACAAAATCTAAATGATTGTGATGATTAATAATTAATAAAGGCACTATTATTTCATTGAGCTTTATGCATTAAAATAAATAAATTCAGTCAAAATGATAATAATAATATTTCATTTGCTACTAAGAAATTATACATGCATTTTAAAGCCTTTTATATTCGATGCTATCTGCTCTTATTAACAACAATGACTTATTAATACATAGGATTAATAGCTATACTATATTAACATGAATATAAATATATACATACATATACATATAAATGATAAATATATACACTATATAGTAAGTAATATATATATATATAGTAATATGAAGTATACAATTTCAAGTAATATCATTATATGTAAATCTTAAATGTATAAATGTTAAATAATATGTATATATTTATATAGATCGAATATGTATATATATTATACTTTATTACGTAAGGAACATTTGTATTTACCATGTATACAATTGTAAATGAATGCATCAGAAAATTATTAAAAATATATATGGTATCTTTGGTAATTTCGTTGTTAGCCATCATCAGTTTTTACCATCTTAATATACCTATGTAATACTTGATGGTCGTTGACGAGTAAACAAAAAGTTCCGGACAAATTTTGCGTCGATTATTTCCTTCCTTCGTCAAAGTCAGTGAATTTACGCTGCAAATTTTATTTTTGCTTTTTTTAAATCAAAGATGTCGGCGAGTTTGTTGCAATTTTTGTCGTTTTTTGTTCGTTGGTCTCTTCTTGTTCTGCCATGAAAAACACGTAACCAAACCGTAACCAAACCGTGTAAATTAAACTACGTTATTTAATCGTGATTTCAATTCAGTTTGTTCATTAAATTCCCAGAAATCGATTTGATTAAAATTTCTTTCCGTTGCTACCTGCTTTTTTACCTGTTTGTTGCTGATGTTTTTCCGATTTAGATTAAATTAACTTTTTAAAATATTAGAAAGGATATTTTATTTAAAAAAGGGATCTGTTTTGATCACAAAACAAAAAAGTACCATAAATATGTTTCAGTATACTTTATAAATTATTTACTTTAATGTAATGATTCACTATCATTGAAAAAGGATGTTCTGTTATGTTTTTAAGATTAAAATGTTTGTAACTCGTTCAAAATTAATTTTAATTTTGTAAAATGCTTCTTTTTTGTTTTTAGACAGTAGAAGCAGTGATGATGCAAATGATGGAGAGTGAACAACCTGATTCTAAACACAAGAAGTCTAAGAAAAGCAAGCACAAGACAAAACACAGTAGTACCCACAAACATAAGAGGAAGCATAAAAAGAGTCATAATGAAGAAGATGTTGCTCTGGATGGCAATGAAGTATGTGTTAATGTTATGCTTGCAAATAATTCCAATTGTGAGGATGTTTTACGAGTGCCACTGCCATCATCAGCATCACCAGTTGCAACTAAAGAGGTGATTCTATTACATTTAGTTTATAATTTATTAATTCCTTTTGTACAAAGAGCAAAATTACTGAGATTAATTAATAATTTGAACAGAAAACTGTTGGTGAAGTACAAATTGTTTTTGAAAAGCGTGCCGATCAAGATGTTATAATTATAGAGAAACCACTTGTGAATAACTATGGAGATGATTCTGAAGAAGAAGATGGTGAAATTGAACACGAAAGCACAAAAAGTAATCGGCAGGCAGAACCAAATCAGAGATGTGCTGCCATGCCTTCATCAGTTAGCTCTCAGGATGTCATCATCATCAATGAATCACATCCTAGCACTCAAAATGGTGAAGGACATAGGCACCACAAAAAGAGGTAGTTGAAACATTACTTTTAGAGTTTAAAATTGTTTCTTTAATTTTTTTACTAATTACAAAATTATTTGAAACAGGCAACACGATTCAAGAGCAGATAGACCCGGCGATGGTCACTACAAAGTCCCCAGAAGAAGTCACTCGAGGAATCACAGCCTTTCACCTAAAAGGCATAAAACTGATACATATTCTTCTTTTGATCAGTTGGAAATGTCTTCTAAGTACAAAAATATTGATTTGCATAAACAGTATGAAAAAGATTATTCAAAATGTCAATCGTTCAAATTAGCAGAAGAGGATAGACAGCACGGAAAACATAGGAGTCGAAGCCCTCAAGATGATTATAGGAACAGATCGCGCAGAGCTAATTATGATTTCTCTCAAGCTAGTTCATTGTCGGCCAGATTCGTCGACGAGAGGATGGATAGGAGAAAAAGCAGATCACCATTGCACAGGAGGCCGCAAACATCCAGGAGCAGATCACCACCACACCACAGCAGCAGCAGCAGACAGCATCCATCTTCAAGAAGGGAGGAGGGACACCAACAACAACAACTTCATGACAGGAGGTTCTGCTTCATACATTTTTTAAATTTTTTTCTGTTTAGTGTATAATATAATGTTTCTAACATGCTATGATGTTTGTACGTGAGCAGATCAGATGATGTCAGGCATTTTGGAGGCTCTTCAAGACAGCGTGAGAGGATGAGGTCAAGGTCAGCTCAGAAGAGGATGAGGTCAAGGTCAGCCGAGAAGAGAATGAGAAGGAAGAGGCAAGATGATGAATTGTCACCATCATCGAGGTTCAATATTGTTTTTGTGCTTGTTTTATTATTTCTCATTGTAAAGTAATTTAAGGAGGGGAGAATTTATGAGTTGTGCACCTAATGCCCACATCTGGTCAGTATTCTCTGCCCTATTCTCTCTTTCATTCATTTATTTATCCTCATTCATTCTTCATAATCAAACCTTTATTTATTATATATTTTAGTGTAAGTTACGTTGGAATTTAAAAATTCATTAAAAATCATTATTTTATTCATTCCATTAACTAAAATTTTGTGGTAGGCAAATAAATAAACGGCCTGACGTCTTCAAACAAACTCACCTCCCCACTTCACTATTGTGTATATCAATAGTTAGTCCATGATTGAAAATATACATCATCAATCTTGTTATTTGTGTCCTAGTTTTTATGTTTCAATGTGCATTGTTATATGTATTTAGAACCCTCTCTCTCCTTCTTCTATTCATTCTGTGTGACGAATTTTTTGAAAGTTTCCATTTCCTTATCAGTGTATGCATGTGTATGTAGCTTTTGTTACATTGTTTTGGTCGTGTGATCATGAAATTTATTATGTTTTTTAAATGTCCGAAAGTTTTTTTAAGATTTCAGAATAGATGATATTTGATGCAGTAAGCATCAAGACCGTCATCGTTAAATTTAAAAAAAAAAATACCACTCACAACCAAGCATTACAGCAAATGTTTGCACCACGTTTTAAAACACGAATCCCTGCTTTTAGGAGGAGACAGAGGAGAAGAGATGAACGCGATGCTGGGGATGGTGATAGGAATCGAAACAGCAGTGGCGGGCGACATAAAAAATCACGCCACCACAAATCTAAAAATGCAAAAGGTGATCAAGATGACGTCGAGTTAGTTTTTTTTCTCTATTGTTAGAGGTTCAACTTTGAATTTCATTAATATTTCATGCTGATGAGCACATACAATCAGCGAGCTAGGGTTTCCATTTTATTCTTTACAGTTCCGCGGATAATGAGGATTTTGAGATGGCAGATGAAGATGAAGAAGATGAGGATGCAATCATTGAAAGGAAAAGAAGAGAGAGAGAGATATTGTACAAGGTGAGTGTGGGTCATTTGAATTCATTTATAACTAATTCATTAATTCTTCATTCGTTATGACCCATCTTTTTATAACAAAACGCAACACAGACTTTATCTATAGAGACGAGAGACTCTCCCTTCAACCTGCCATCCGTCGATCAACAACAAGTTAGTTCTTCTCCCAAGAAAGAAGTATGCCCCCCCTCCGGTGCGTCCACCCCCGTCAGCGACACCATGGATAACTTTGACTTTGAGGAAACCATAGAGACGAAGAGAAAGAATGTAGTAGCAACTGAGGTGGAGGTTTCAGAAGATGCGGCCACTGAGCAGGGAACGAAGGCTTGCATGACTGGCATCGACATGTTTGCAGATGATGTACAGTTTCAACATGAAGATGTTAATGTTAGTCTCCTGCTGGCCTACTGCTTGCTTATCAAATTTTTAACAAAATTTTTTCTATTCAAGTCATTTTTTCATTTTCTCTGGTCTACATCCCCTTTTCAAAATTATTCCATCAGAGAAGCAACATGTACGTGACACAGACCACCTTTGAAAACAACAACCTCACAGACAACTGGGATGATCCTGAAGGATACTACAGTAAGTTGTTGTGCTAACACTCATCTTTTGCTTGTTTCATGTTGATGTGTTTCTTCTTGTGTTGTTCTTATCTACAGTTGTTTACATTGAATTGCACCACGTGTTAAATTCTTCAAACAGATGTAAGGATCGGGGAAGTGTTGGACAAGAGGTACTCAGTTTTTGGTTTCACGGGCAAAGGAGTCTTCAGCACTGTTGTCAGAGTTCGAGATGCTGCCAGGAATAACCAGGAGGAAGCTGCCATCAAAATCATTAGGAACAATGAGATGATGTCTGTATTAATATGTCTCCTTTTCTTCTTTTTCCATATATTTATAATTTTCATGCTGAGGGCTACTTTTTGTTTCAGTAAAAAATTTTTGAAATTTCTACAAGGATGAGTTTTTATCAAATTCATTTTATTCTAATGTTGTCTTGTTTTTTCTATTGATATAGCCGTTATATTTATTTATTTATAATACAACAGGCACAAGACAGGCATGAAAGAATTGGAGCTAGTGAAAAAGTTGAATGATGCCGATCCAGCTGATCGCTTCCATTGTCTGAGACTTTTCAGACATTTCTTCCATAGGAATCATCTTTGCCTAGTCTTTGAATGTCTGAGGTTCGTTTGATTTTTACTGCAGTGATTCATTCATTTTACTCATCTTTTATGGGGATTTTATAATTTTGAAATTGTGTTACAATTCATCAACAGCATGAATTTGCGTGAAGTGTTGAAAAAGTACGGCAAAGACATTGGCTTACACGTGAAAGCAGTGAGAAGCTACACGCAACAACTCTTCCTGGCTCTCAAGCATCTCAAAAAGTGCTCCATCCTGCATGCCGACATAAAGCCTGACAATATCTTGGCACGTTTCTCTCATCTCTTTTCAACGTTTTTTTAGTATTCTCCATGAGTTGTCATTAATTCATTTCCTACTTTTAATATAATTGCTTAAAGTATATTTGTTTGTCTATCTTCTACAATATTTATTTCATTTTAAAAAATTATACCTCATAGAATGCTGTTGAATTATTATTTAATAAAATTGAAATTTTTTGAAAATGCAGATAAATGAATCAAAGTTGACGTTGAAGTTGTGTGATTTTGGTTCAGCCTCTCACATATCAGACAATGAACCAACGCCATACCTGGTCAGCAGATTCTACAGAGCCCCAGAAATCAGTTAGTTTACCCGTAATTTTTTTGTGTTGCAAATTTTTTTGATTTAGTTTATTTTATGATATGAATTTTGGGATCAGTTTACTATCGTATATTTACGATATTTCGTTGAAAACTAGATTTATGATTGATAACATCAATAAAATCGAATTAACCTAATGTAAACCAACCATGAATACATTGTTTTCAGTTATTGGCAATAAATACGACCATGGTATTGATCTGTGGTCTACGGCTGTGACCGTCTTTGAATTATACACTGGGAAGATTATGTTTCAAGGGAAAACTAACAACGAAATGCTTAAGTTGTTCATGGATTTGAAGGGAAAAATGCCAAATAAGCTTATCAGGAAAGCAGTTTTCAAGGATGACCACTTTGATCAGTTTTTCAATTTCATTTACCACGAAATTGATAAAATAACAATGAAGGTTTGTTGTTTTCCTTGTTAATTTTTGTTACCATGTTATTTTTTTGTATTGTAGACAATTTTATCTTAAATAAATTGAATTATTTTCTCTCATTTCAAAGGAAAAGGTGACGGTGTTGTCGACGATATCTCCTAGTAGAGATTTAATGAAAGAGCTGATCGGCTTTCAGAGACTGCCCGAGGATCAAATGAAGAAAGTGGTTCAATTGAAGGATTTCCTGGATAAGTTATTGGTTATGGATTCTTCTAAAAGGATGTCCATACAACAATCCCTCACTCACCCTTTCATTGTAGATAAATCTTGAGATGCACTGAAGTGTAAAGCCATTACACTACACGTTGTTTATGTACCTTTATATATATATATATATATATATATATATATATATATATATATATATATATATATATATATATATATAGCTTTTATGACGTTAACCTTGTTTTATTGTTGAGAACTACTGATTTCTATGTACATGCAGTCTCGTTTTCATAATATCGAAGCTAATTGCTCTCTGTATTACATTATCTTTATGTCTTGTGATTCTTACCAAGTGCAAGAATTCATAGATAAGAATTTATATTTGTTTGGATTTGTGATAATGTGATAATATAACGACTTCACTGGACTTCGATTTGTTGATTTTCGGAAATTTCGAACGCATTTCTTTCACGATAATCTTTGTTAAAATGTGTAATGACAAATTGTGGAAGGATTTGACTAAATAGTAGTATTTTTTAATTGTTAGATTATTTCACTACTGTTTCCATGCTAATTTCATAAAGTTGCTTTTTTCAAACAATGTGGGAGTGAAAATTTTTAAATACGTAATACATTGCATGAAAGAAGTCATTTGAAATATAAAAAGCCGTTCTGTAATTTAAAAATGTACGATTTTGCGACACATAACATTAAAAAAAATTTTGAATAACTTTTGGGACATCTCCGATTCTTGCGTTTACCTGAGAGGTAGCTTGCTAAATAGCTATCGCGATTGGTCGGCGTTTTCAAACATTCAAAAGACCGGGTTTCGACATTTTTATTTTCTCCGGCGAAGAAGCATTAGTTTTTCATCTAAAGAGAAGATTTTTACAAGATAGTGAACTCGAAATCAAGAAGGTTTTTTTTTAATTTCATTGATTTCCTACGTTTTATTTAATAAATTGGCCATTTACATAGTGAAAAGTGGTGAGGTGTTTGCCGACTTAAAAAAAATTTAAAAAATTTTTCATGCTCTTCAAGTTTCTGACTGCTTGCTTGAGCACTAAAATTAGTCAGTCATGCTCTTCAAGTTTCTGACTGCTTGCTTGAGCACTAAAATTAGTCAGTTTTGAAAGTTTGAAAGCAGTTTAGTAACTTATGTTTTTTAGATAATAATTGAACATGTTTATTAAGAAAAATTATTTATTTATAAAATATTTGTTTATGTAATTTACTGAGTTGTGACTTGAGTCAATTGTTAATTGAACAATTGTTCAATTAGGAAGTTTTTTATAAAGTGTTTATGTAATTAGCTAAGTTGAAAGAAATTTATTTAGGTTACATGTTCTTCAGATAATTGAACATGTTCATTGTAAATAATCTAAGTTGAAAGAAGATTATGTTCTTCAGATAATTGAACATGTTCATCAAGAAACTTTTTTTATGAAAGGTTTATGAAATTAACTAACTTTAGAGAGTTATTTTATTAGCAAAGTTGAGAGTTATTACCAAAGTTATTACCCTTATAATATAAGGGTAATAAACTCTCAACTTTACTTAATTGAACATGTTGTCCATTAAGAAACAGTTTTTATAAAACGTTTATGAAATTAACTCAATTGAGAGTTTTTTATTTTATGTTCTTTAAATAAATTGATCCTGGGAATTTTATATAAGCTCTCGGTAAGTCGATAAGGTTTGAGCGTCTAATATGACACAAAAACTAAAATTGTGACTGAGTGTAACTTTTTAAGGCGCCAGTAAGTCGATAAGGCTTAAGCGTCTAATATGAGGAACTTAACTTGTGACTGAGCGTGTTTTTTAGGGAATTTTATATAAGCTGTCGGTAAGTCGATAAGGTTTGAGAGTCAGATATGACAAAAACTAAGATTGTGACTGAGAGTACCTTTTTTTCCATGGAATTTAAAAACTAAACTGACTGAGCGTGTTTTTTAGGGAATTTTATATAAGCTGTCGATAAGGTTTGAGAATCAGATATAACAAAAACTAAGATTGTTACTGGGCGTAACTTTTTTTTACTAAATTTGTTTTAAGGCTCCAGTAAGTCGATAAGGCTTGAGCGTCTAATATGACAAACTAAACTGAATTGACTGAGCGTGTTTTTTAGGGAATTTTATATAAGCTGTCGGTAAGTCGATAAGGTTTGAAAGTCAGATATAACACAAAAACTAAGATTGTGACTGAGCGTAGCTTTTTGTTATGGAATTTGTTTTAAGGCGCCAGTAAGTCGATAAGGCTTGAGCGTCTAATATGACAAACTAAACTGAATTGACTGAGCGTGTTTTTTAGGGAATTTTATATAAGCTGTCGGTAAGTCGATAAGGTTTGAAAGTCAGATATAACACAAAAACTAAGATTGTGACTGAGCGTAGCTTTTTGTTATGTAATTTGTTTTAATGCGCCAGTAAGTCGATAAGGCTTGAGCGTCTAATATGACAAACTAAACTGAATTGACTGAGCGTGTTTTTTAGAGAATTTTATATAAGCTGTCGGTAAGACGATAAGGTTTGAAAGTCAGATATAACACAAAAACTAAGATTGTGACTGAGCGTATCTTTTTATTATGGAATTTGTTTTAAGGCGCCAGTAAGTCGATAAGGCTTGAGCGTCTAATATGACAAACTAAACTTGTTACTGAGCGTGTTTTTTAGGAAATTTTATATAAGCTGTCGATAAGGTTTGAGCGTTAGATATGACACAGAAACTAAACTTGTAATTTTTCTGAAATCTTTTATCTGTAATCTGAGCGTCTTTTTCTGAAATTTATTATTTTTTATAATACGTTTGTAAGTCGATAAGGTTCGGGGGTCAGATATGACAAAAACTAAACTTGTGATTGATCGTGTATTTGAGGATGTTTATTAATTTGTAAGTCAATAAGATATGACAAATTAAACTTGTGACTGAGCGTGTTTTTTAGGGAATTTTTTATAAGCTGTCGGTAAGTCGATAAAGATTGAGCGTCAGGTATGATAAAATCTAAACTTGTTATTGAGCGTGCTTTTAGAAAATTTATACTTAATATTAAGTTTTTAAGTCATACAATAATGTATTTATTATATGTATTCATTTATATGTGCGTATACATTTGTCCCGCTTTTGAAAATCTAAATGTTGGCATCTTAGTTGAGCGTGTTTTTTTTAAGGAATTTAATATAAGGCGTCGATAAGGTCTGAGCGTCAAATATGACGCAAAGACCAAACTTGTGACTGAGCGTGTTTTTTAAGGAATTTATTTTTTTGAAAAGTTATATTCTTCATAAGTGTTGGAAATATTTTTTGAGGCCGCATATATGAATGGTGAAAAAAAATATTTTTGGGACACGATACGCGCAATGAAATGCTTCAGTTTTTTCGAGTTTTGAACACCCTGAAAGGCTGTTTTTGCGGCTGATTTGTTTTTAAGTGGTTGAAATATTTTTTGAGGCCGCAGTTAATAATATTTTTAATCGATTTTTTATGTTCATCTTACTCTGTATTTCTATTTATTGTTCAATAATTCATACAATCATTGTTCATACATACGTTACTTAAATATATATATAGTATACATATTCATACATTTTATACATTTCAATGATCAGTTAAGCAGTTTTAATAAGTGTGCAATTTCTAGTATCACCTGCCATGCATTAGGGAGATGGAACTCTCTTTTTCACGATCTCCCCGCTCGCATAATATATGGGTCGGTAGTGGTAACTGAGAGGCGGGTTCAGTCTCATTTTGATATGTCGGTTCCTAACCCGCTGACCGAAAGTTCTAAAACGATTAGTGAATTAGATCCTAACCATTGGTGCTCGCGAGTTCTCACAAGTCGATTATCTTTCATTAAAAATAAGGCATCCGATTGCCTAACTATTTGTGGAGGTGCTGAAAATGGACAGTTTTGCTGGATTGGGGGGATAAAAAATGAAAATCTCATTGTTTACCACGATGGGGAGACGCCATTGAGGCCTAATGACATACTAATTAAAGTTTGTTGCTTTTTTTAATTTTTAAAAAGGTTTTTATTTAATTACATTTTTTGGTTTGGCTCCACTTATCAATTTATTTTTTACATGCTTGTATTTTTATTGTATAGTCAGTATAATCTTGTGTTAATGGTAGAAAACTGTTAGAAGGTAGGCGGGCTTACTCTACTAGATAAATTACTACTGCATTTATGAAGCATATTGCTAAGGAACACAACAAACGCTCTCTGACTTACCAGGTTGGAGACCTGTCAGTGTCAGGATTCACAACATATGACTTGAAGGAATGGCTGAAGATAACAACACGCAATAGAAACATCATCACAGTTGAGCATATTTCGTTTGGTTAATATTTTTATATTGTTTTCATTGGTTCTATTATTACTTATATCTAATATTTTGTAATATTAATATTTTTAATCCTACATTATTTTTCTTTCTAAAAATGAAAGCTGTTTTGTGTTTGACAAATAAACAGTTTGCTTATAAAACTTTGCCATTTTATTTTTAATTTAATTTTTACTTTGCCATTTTAATTTTATTTTTAGTGTGCTTATAAAACTTATTGCCATTTTATTTTTAATTTTACGTTTTCTTTGCTTAATTTCAGAATTTCTAAATGTGGATTTGAAGAAATTTTTGTCAAGAAGATTCAGAAAGAACTCAGTGGATCATGAACTGCAGCAAACAATTCGTATTAATGTATACAAGAGAACAGTGCCATGTAAGTTAAGTTTGTTAGAGTCAGTTTTAGGAATAGTCATTGTTATTATCATTTCCATGATCATTATTTAATCATCTTTTATAATTATTCTTTAATTATCATCGTCACTACAACCATTAGTAATTTTCTCAAAACGAGTTAATATCTCATTTTTCTTTCTAAATTATCAGGTCAGACATCATTGCTATGTATGATACTTGAACGCGTGTGTGCGTGTGTGTGTGCACTGGGCATGCTTATAAAATAAAAACATATGTACATGTTTGTTCTGCTTATACATATTGCATTTATTTTATTTAGATTTATTTATTCTTTCATTCTTTTGTTTCATTTTTTCTAATTAAGATTTTTTCCTCAGGCACAACTCGAATCAGGAGGTCGGATGAAGTTGATGGTGTGGATTATACATTTGTTGATGTCCAACAGTTTGTTAACTTGGAGAAAAATGGCTTGCTGTTGGAGAGTGGAACTTTTAATGGTTGGTAGGCTGGCTGGTTGGTTCTTAGTTGGTTTTGGCTTTTAGCGTTGATGAAGTTAGTTGGTTGTTCTTTGATCTTTATTTTTAGGGAATTTCTATGGAACTCCTAAGCCTCCACTGCAGGATGATGATGACGACGAAGATGATGATGACGTCAACAATGATGATGATGAGGAAGAGGATACCTTGCATATTTCTCCATACAATCTCCAAAGTAATAATGATCATCATTGCCATCACGAAGAAGAAACTACCTCCATGTCTCCTAACCTAATCTCGTCCTATTCACCATATAATAATGACAATATTAATAATATCAATAACAACAACAATAATATTAATAATAATTATTATTATTTTAATAATAATATCAGTGATAATTCTAATACTAATAAGTATAATATTAAAAGAAGAAGAAACAGATCTTACATAGAAGCTGACCATGATGAGCACCAGCATATAGATGCAACTGATAATGACAATGATGTCAATTATAATGAAAATGAAGACCGTCACAATCAAGTTTACCATCACTATCATCGCTTTAATCAACAACAACATGGTCATCATCATTCATTACATCGTCACAATTTGGTGTTTAGTGATGTTGGGGATTTAGCAGTGACAGAGTTAGTTTTAGTCTAAAATAAATACGTATTTTTATGAAATATTTTTAAGATTGTGTGCCGCATGTTTTGATGTAAATGTAATATGATGTGGGAGTGTAACGCGATATGTTTGTTTAGGTTATCATTGATGGATGAGATGACAGCTGGAGATGCTGAAGCCTGCACTCATGCTGATAATGGAAGTTCGTTGTCTTGCTATTGTGGTTTTGCTTTGTTTCCTTGTTAGTTTCTTTGTTTTGTGATGTTTACATTAAAAGATTAATGTTCACATTAAAACTAACACTGATTGCAAAATTGACATTGATGATTCTTTAGTAGGTTGGTGTCATTACATTTGATATTGTTATTAATGTTAATGTTGTTAGAGTAATTAACGTTCTTATTGTTTTTTGAAACCTGGAACACAGTTTTGCCCCCAGGCTGGGAACGAGTTGATAACTTTCCTGATCATGATGTCATCTATGTTGAGTTAGTAGTTGTCGTTTCTAACTCTCACATATTTTATCTGGGCACAGTTTCAATTTAAAATAATTTCTATTTATTTGTTGGTTTATTTTATTAACTTGATACATTATAAAATGTAAAAAGTTAATTTTTCAATCAATTTCTCGTAAAAGATTGATTATTAAAATAAAAATTGTTTGTTTTTGCTAAATACTTCGATCTGCAAAAGCGAAATATAAAACCAATAAAAAATATGGCGATACTCAACTTGAACATCCAAAATAACAAATCAAATTTGAAACTGAAAGCGTCGCTTGAAATTAATTATAGTTAATAGTTATGAAAGCTTGTCCTTTAATTAGATTTTAAAAATAATTTTTATAAATAAAAGTTCACACAAATACTCACATGCTTACCTAACAGCCACATAAACAAGAGAACTCAATCTGAATTCCCATCTTTGAAAAGTTCAAGTTTGTTACTTGATATGTTTATTTGCTAGCTAGCTCGCTTGTTCGTTTTTGTGTTGATGGTGATGTAATGAGTTGTTTAGAATGATGAATTTAAAGACAAATCTAACAAGAACCAACTGTAGACCTCACTTAATCAAACCTGAATATTTTAAATGGATTCCATCCCTATCTTTAGTGAAACTGTTAAATTTTCGTTTGTATGTGTGTAGATGTTATCATCACATTTATATTATTTTTGAACGTCGAATTTCTATCCAATGACATCAACTAACACTTAACAACATGCAACAAGAGCAACAAACACATCAATGACGACAACAACATTCAACAACAACAGCTTCCTCCTCGCGTCACCCGTCCACGCCCTCCCACCTGGCACCTCCCCTCACCTGCATCTCCCTACTGAAGGGGGCCTACGGACTGGGGTTCACGATAATCGGTGGCGACCAGTACAACAGACATCTGCAAGTTAAAAATATCACACCAGGTGGTCCAGCCCATCTCGATGGATCCATCAGAAGAGGTGGCGAGAATCTTTCCTCTCTTATTATTTTCATTCCAATTGGTTGAATGAAGTGTAATAGGTTGAATCTGGATGTTATTTTGTTTCTGTTCGTCTGATAATAACAAACATGCGTAGGTAAAATGCGAATCAACAAAATACCACACTGCAGGTGATCTTTTGGTTGAAGTGAACGGCGTGAACGTCCTCAATTACAGCCACCAACAGATCGTTCAACTTTTCCAGAACATTCCCATCAACACGTCAGTGAACTTGAAGGTCAGCAGAGGTCATAAATTGACCTTTGATCCGGATGACCCAAACAACAAGATTATTACTACTGTTGCAGTTAAACCGACTGATAATAATTTAAGGATGAACAACAGCAGCAGCAGCAACTTCACTAATGTTTTGTTTGATCAGGGAGTAGATTGTGATAGAGAGACTCTACCGTCGCCTCACTGCTGTGATATGGTCTGTCTGTGTGTGTGTGTGTGTGTGTGTGTGTATGTGTGTTTCTCATTTGTTGTATTGTCTATTTCATTTGTACCTCTCATTCGAACACCTCTCACTTCGTTTGTACATCCAAGTTATATATTAGTAGTTATCATGGATGTAACTATTGCTACTACTTCGCCATCCATCAAACCATCACCACAGAAATCACCAAACTCTTCCTCCTCCTCGCCATCTCTCCCCAACGCATCACCGACGACAACAGCTCAAGTTGTCCTGAAACTAATTCGCGGAAGTGATGGATTCCGATTCACGATAACCGATTCGTCGGGTGGCGGTCAGAAGGTTCGATCGATCGTCGATCCACGGAGATGTGTCGGCCTCTGTGTTGGTGACGTCATCCAGCTAATCAACAACATACACGTCATCAATATGAAACATAAACAAGTTGTTGATATCCTCAACGCCTGTCCAGTTGGTCTCGAAACTGAGATTGTTGTTCTAAGAAGAGGTTGTTGTTGTTGTTGTTGTTGTTGCTGCTGCTGTTGCTGGTTGTTGATGGTGATGTTTCTGATGATGGTGGTTATGAGGAGGAGGATGAAGAAGGAGAAGAGGGTTTTGATTTGAAGGGTTTTTTTTCATCAATTCAACTTGTATTAAAGTATTATTTTGTTTTTAAGTTAATGGTTCTCCAGTCCATTCCAAGTTACATCAACAACGGCAACAACAAGAACAGTTATTTCATCAGTATTATTCACACACATCACCAGTCGATGTCTTGAGAGGAAATTCAATTCAACAACAGCCTATCAGCAAATATATCTCAGTCAATGACATCAATGTTAATGTAACGTCACCTCTGAAGCCGACATTTTCATCTGTAAACAACAACAACAGCAACAATATGTTAGGACTTTATAATGTTACTAATTCTAAAATTAACAACAACAACAACGTCAAAATTAATAGAAGCAAGACTCCTGGCCCTATCTTAATATCCACCCAGCTATTTAACAACAACACATCCAATCATCAACAACAACAGCAAAGACAACAACAGCATCATCATTTTCGTTCCAAATCAACAACTCGTCTGATATCGCAAAGCAATACTTCCACTCCTGATTTCATGCCTGCCACAAATTTCAACAACAACAAAAATTTGTTGACAACAACATCCACCTCTAACAACAAATCATTCATTCCTTCAACTTTTTCAACGAGAAGCACATCAAACAACATCAACATATCGAGCAACAATAACTCATCAAACAACAACACATCATTAAATGGCAACGACAATGGTACAGTTAACAGCAACAGCTTATTAAGTCACAACGCATTCAACGATGCTACAAACTTCAGAAATATATCTCAACTTCAACATCAACTGACACAAAATCCAACACATTTGAGTAGTTCAACAGCAAATGACCAAGCCGGCAACATCAACAACATCACCGCTATTGACAACAAAATAAACAAAAACCCAAGAATTGTTACCTTAACAAAACAGGCTAATCAAACGTTCGGCATTACAGTTGCATCAACTTCAGTTAAATCTGGCTCTCAAATATGTTAGTTTTGCTGCTACTGCGGCTACTACTTCTACTACCACCACTACTACTACTGCTGCTATTGCTTTTGTTTTACTCTGTCAGCATTATTATTTATTGTTGAATTACTAAAACTTGTTGTATGTCGTGTTATTAGATTTTTGCTGAATTAAATATTTTTGCACTTTAGTTCTACATGTTGGATGATTTGTATCTCCTTACATTACGTCAGGCGCGTTCATGTATACTTTTAAACTAAACATTGATTATGTCTGCCTAATGTTTGTCGTTAAGATTGCAAATGATGATAGATTGTTATTTACTTATTTGTCGAAATTTCTTCCACTGCAGGTGACATAACTGCTGGCAGTCCTGCTGCTAAGTGTGGCCAGTTGTTTGTCGGTCAGTATTCCATCAAAGCTCTTCTTCTATTTTATTATTTTATCGTCATAAGTATCGTTAATTGTCTATATTTCTATTCTTTACATTAAATAATTGAAAAAGAAATGTGAATGCTGGGGTAGGTCGATAAGGTTTGAGCGTCAGATATGACACAAAAACTAAACTTGTGACTGAGCGTGTTTTTTAGGGAATTTACTGTAAGGCGTCAGTAAGTCGATAAGGGTTGAGCGTTTTATTTCTATTCTTTACATTAAGTTAATGAAAAAGAAATATAAATACTGGGGCATACCTGTATTTCTGCTTTCAAATCGCCATTCAGTTCAGTTTAGTTTTTCGAATTGTTGATTAATTTCTAGTGGGCAAGCCAATAAATGGATAGACAAAATGTTTTGACAAATAGGTGATGAATTGTTGGCAATAAATGGCACGAGTGTCTTGAACATGAGCCACGGCGAAATAGTTCAGTGCATCATAAACTCCGGTAGGATGGTGACGCTGACTGTCGTGTCATCAGCAGCTGCTCCCATTCTCTCCAACATCACCACTGCCGATATCATTAAGTCGCAGGTTGGCTGGCTGGCAATGGTTGGTTGGTTGTTTATTTGCAATTCTTTAAACAATCTTCCATATGATATCTCCTACAAAACAACAGAAAAAGTATGGAAAATCGAGTGACTGTTTGAACACAGTCGTAATCGAGAAACCAATCCTTCCATATGATGAGCGTTCAAATAATTTCAGCTGCACATCCGATCAACATCCATCCATCGATTTGATAAACAAACTGAAACAACAGCACAACATCAACAAAAATAACGTTAATAATAACATTGATGTCCAAAACAACAATAGGAGGAATGACGTTAATGAGGGAAACGCTGAACTCGTCTTTAAAAAGTTAACTTTTAAATTACCTTGCCACATAGAATTGTATAAGTTTTTCATGTTTTAAGACCACATTGTCACACATCCTTCGTAATTCAATGAACATGTGACACGTGCACGTGTTACAATCAGGACTCCATCAAGTCCTCCGATTTCATCAAGTCCTCCGAAGCCAGCACCGACGACACTTGAAAAGTTTCAAAGCGTAGAGTTGGAGAGGGGTCCACATGGATTTGGATTCACAATAACAGGGGGTAGAGATCTTCGTAACTCCCCCTCAATATCTGTCTTCAACATAAATGACGGAAGTCCGGCTCATGGAAATATTCGAGTCAGTTTCCTTCTACGTTTACGTAATTTTAAATATTTTTTATGTAAATGTTTCATAAGGTAAATTATTAAAAAACATTTACATTGCACAAGCAGGTGGGAGATGACATTATTGAAATAAATGGACAGAACACAAGCACGTTGACTCAATCTGATGCTAAGAAGATCATCAGCGCTTCCAACAAAGTCGTACTGCTGCTAAAGAGGAGAAATCATCAAGGTCTTCAATTTGTTTCAATTCATTATTTTTTATATGTTAAGATCTGTTATTTATTACGTTATAATTCCTTTAATGAATAATTTCAATTTAACATTTTATCAAGCAGATCCATCCATCTAATGATTTCAGAACCATATCCTCTTTCTCTCAGAATGTTTATATAAATATGTATCTATACTATATATGTATGTCGTGACTGAATGTGCTGTATGTATATATGTGTGTGTGTACGTGCGTGTATTTATATTATAATCATATTTTATTATCATTTGTATGTGTGAAAAAAAAACTGTTTTTTGACTGTTTTCATTATAAAATGTGTCTAGTAAAGATTTTGTTAGAATTTTAAGGTATTTTCTCCATAGTTTCAGCTCACTTTCAAGAATTATTATATAATTACATTTGTAAAATGTTATACGGACATGTGTCTCTAAAGTTCCATGCATAATCAATCTGTAGTGTATCATTTACAATGGAGATAAATTGTATTGTACGAACTTATACACACTTTATATGTACATCTTTCAAATATCGCTTTGTTCACAAAAGAAGGAGCCTTAATAAGATTTTTTTATTTCGTTTTTAAATTTTGATTGTAGATATCACGAGCAACATCAAGCTCGCCAACTAGTGGAGTACTCATTTGTAATATTGTATGGTAGATTCCAATAGATATGTATCATTATATATGTTTGTCATCTTACAACGTTCAATAATGTCCAGCACCTATATCTTATTTTTAGTTTATACATATAATTTTCTGTGCTCGCGTCTCATCTATGATAATATATCTCTTAACAATTTCAACGTATTTTACAGTTTTTATCACTAGATAGATGCATGATGTGTAGTAATTTTAAAGATTCATCAGTGTTAAACGTACAACCCGTGCTAACTTCACATCATTTCATCCAGTAGATTCTTGTTGGGAAGGTTTTTGCAACTTGTTTTGATTGTGTCTAGTGAATTATTCTCTTTTTTTAGTTTTATATACATTTTTTACAAAGTGTTTATTTAATTGTGATTTGTTTTCATATCTCTCGACTGATATTTTATTATTTTCATTCAGAATTTATCTTACATTCACATTCATCAAAATTTGTAGTAACATTTTCTTATTGAAAACTGAAGCAATGAACACTGAACAGTTCAGCACCTACGTATAACACCACACCATCACAGTGCGGTTGGTTGAGACGTGACAAAATATTGAACTGCCTTAAAAGAATGAATTTATGATATCTATAGAGGCTTTGTGTGTGTACATTTCCTTCCATCGTATTTCATCTAGGAGTCGTTCTCATACAAATTATTACACAAAAGCCCACGATTGTATGTATGACTTTGTAGAAGTTCCTCGATGAAAGATATTCACCCACCCACTCACGTTAAACCCCTCCGTTAATTTCATAAGTTATTCATTATTTTATATTTATATTAGTAAATCATGAATTTAATTCAACAACCAACCTGAGTTATCACCTTTATTAACCTTTTCTACTCATTTCTTTTCAAAGTGTTCAATTAAAAACATTTTTATAAATATAATTTGGAAGAAAAATATTCAAATAAAACTGTCCAAAATGTTTCAAGCGTTATTAATGTTTTAACAGCAATTTTGTTGTTACGCACACAATGACGGTTATATTAAATGTGAAAAAATTGCAACGTATGATAAGGTTGTCTCGGAGATGTTACGGCTGTGCATATAAAAATGTTCCTCGTTAAAAGTCAACTTTCCAAAAGATTATTGTGTAGGTCAATTCATCGGTGATAGCACTTGTATGTAAAGTGAGTCTCAATTTCTAGTAACCAAAACAGCAAGTAGATGATAAAAAGTTATGCAAGAATAGGTAATAACGACGACCTAGACAATTTAATCAAACCACGTACCTAAGCAATGTACGCAGTCTGTTAAAAATATGAATACTCTTCAAAATTACAAATGGTTCTAAAGCGTACACTCTAATATATGTACGTACATATATATATATATATGTATATATATATATGTACGTACATATATATATATATATGTATATATATATATACATACAGGCGTGTGTACGATGCATACGTACATACGCTCAAACTGAAATTCCAACCATGTTGAGGACCTTCTTCTCTGACTCGTTGTGGTGTTCGGTGAAGAGTCTATAGCAAGGCTGTTGAGATAGTGTACGCAAGAAATCTGTGATGTAAGCCTGTATTTTATGTAAGATGTATTTTATGTTTCATCATTCAAACAGATGTTATTGTATTGTTACATACTGACTGATGGAGTGAATGTATGTATGTGGTAGAATTGAGATGGACTGCAGCAGACCTGTAGGTCGATCTGGTTGACGGGATCGCTGGCGTCGTCGGGGTCCAAATAGTGCTCCTCACCGTCAGACTCAAACTCTGAATAGGAAGTATTTATCATTATAATGTATTCTCTATCACTGCAGAAGAAACATTTAAGCATGTTTTGTGATGGTTACTAATACTTCTGGCAGTTACCAGTGCTCTCATATTTCTACCCACAACATGGAAGTAACTGATACAATACAATTTGTGGAAGGAACAATAAAAATTTAAAAATATAACTAGAACAGTGTTAATAACAATACTCGAGTAGTGTATCGTCAATGTCGGTACCGCTTTTAAACCGTATTACGCGTATTACCGAAAACAATACCGATATACTCATTTTTGAAAGTATTGCCGGCACTAGCAATACTTTTGCGTTCCTTAAACTGCTGTTCCACGTGCGATACCGATACTTCGATTTCAACAGCTTTGCAATTTAAAGAGATGCGAAATCATTGAAACAGTTCGACCGACCGTTCATAAAATCAAATAGGTTTTCATCGTCAGATTCAGAGCAGGCGTCATCATCGTCATCGTCCATGCCGTCCTCGTCATCACCACTGTTCTTGTGGCCGCCAGCAGTTTCGCCATCATCTTTATCGCAGTCTATATCACTATCATCATCGTCATCGTCCTGCCAAATAACGTATTTAAATAGTTTACGAACTAATATATATATATATATATCTATATATATATATAAGAAATAAAAGAAAAGAAAAAAAAACAACAGTATTTAGTAATAACTCTGAATAACATTAGAATTAAATTTCCATAAAAAAAAGATAAATGCACGCATACATACACATACATACAAACATACACACATATATACAAACACACTTGGGTAAAAAAACAAATTCGCCACCAAACCTTATCATTTATATCTTTTGACAACTTTTGTTCAATTTGATTGGACAGCTCGTTGACCAGCAGCTTGTACATTTTCACCAACAACGGTATGACCGTCCACTTGATAGGAGCTGTGTCGGCAATACGTTAATGAGACACACACACTGATTTGTACAGGATTAACAATTGATTAACACAATTGCTCGTGTATTTGGAATAAATAATAATTACTTATTTTACTGAACAAGTCCCGTTGGTACGTATCTACAGAGAATAAAAATTGAGTCACCTTTTGCAGATTTTGACCTTGTTCTGACGCATCCATCGTCCTTAGGCAGTATCTGCTCACCTTTCGTTTCGATCAACTTTATCCTATCATCATTGCTGGTCAGAGAGTATTCAACCAACTTGCATAGAGCTATTGAGCTGAATGAATGAATAGAAATGTCATGAAGAATCAAATATTTAAACAAAATATATTTACCTGACTTTCCTATCGTAATCACCAAAGAATAGATGCTGTTTAGAACACCATTCATTGAGGACAAACTCGAGAGCCGACTGGCCTGTGGGACTTGGAACACTACACAAAAACTCGATGACTGCAATGTGCTGCGACTGGAAGAGGCGGGCGAAAACAAGGACCAGACTCTGCACGTCAGAAAAAAAACCTTCAACGTTAACATCTCAACAATCACCGACGACCCCACCATCCCAATTGATGGGATCACTTGATGGTCACCAACAACGAACCTGAACAACAGTAAGAGTTCGGGCTTGCTGCAATTTACTGAGGACAGCTTTGAGGAGAAATTCAAGATTATCTCCCAACTGGGAACCCATCTTCGAGATAAGAAGGTTGATCAGTTTGCCAACATAGGTAGCCGTGAACTCGCAGGTTTTTGGGTCGAGTAATCTGTTTATGATCTGTATGACATAGAACACGCCATTGAAACCTGCGTGTGAAAAAATTTTATGAGGTAACTGATTCAAGGTTAGACTAGCTTAAAAAACTGGCTCCTCGAGAAATTTGGTTTTCTAGTTTTGAAAAATAAGCACCTGCTTGAAAAATGGAATCAAAATTTCTATCTAATTCTTGATACAGTCTTGAAACGTCTTATTAACGGTATTCTAAAAACTTAAGTTAATGGTATTGGAAAACTTAAAAGCTTAAAACTTTAAATGGACAACAACTAGCCCAACAAAAATTTAACTGCATTACAAAGTAGCAACAAAAAGAACCTTTTTCATCCCGATAATTTAGAATTTGTTCTAGTGCAACTGACACGTAGGCTCTCATACATTCACCTCCATTCTGTTGAGTTTAGATTTTGTTTGTACATGATGTTTTGTATATCTGCTTACACATCACAAAGGTGTGTGCATGTATATATATACATTCAACAACAAACATCTTCATCTTCCACATTTTTCAGCTTTACCAAGTTGACAACCTGAAGTGCAGCACTATCCTCAGTGGTCAGTGTGCACTGGTAAGCAGCTGGAAAAGCTTGATGTATCAGTAAATCATCCAGAGGATAGGTGCTGTTTCGGACCAATGTGGTTAAAATCTCTAAACCCACCTAGGGAAAATACAAAGTCAACAAATGCACACGTCTATTTAAGCACACCCTACCAACGCCATTATTGAATGACAAAATAAATGAAATGCAGAACCGAAAAAGTGACTGAATGAGTAAAATGAGAAATGAAAACTAACAAACTGCATGCAAAATGGACTTTTATTAATCGGTGTTTGAAGTACAGTCAGTATTGTTGGCAAGATTCGATGAGTGAATGGGGATATGCAGAGTTTATTCTTTGCCAAGATGCCGAAGATGTCTTGAGTGAGATCCAACATTATGGGATCTGTCGCATAAACGTTGTTTCAAGATTACACGTTACCATTCATTTAGATGTTGTATAAATTTGCACCAACCTCAAGAGAACTACAAGAAATCATAAAAATATGCACAAACAACTACACAGCAATAGAAATATAATAAAAACGACATAATCAACCATTCCTACCTGAACTGTATTTAAGAAAAATACTGATAACAATAGCCGATGCATCTGGTTCCAGCATCGAAGTGAAGTGCTCATCTACCTGCGTAAAAATCATTTCCATCAATCAAACTCCTATCCAGTCAATGACAAATCATCGCAAATATTGAGATGAAAATTTCAATTTCCCTACCAGACAACCAACCGACCGGCATTCTATCTGACCATCACATACCAACCTTTAGAATGACAGCCAGAGCCTGCAGAATCAATGAGAGCTCCTTAGAAGTTAACTCGCTGATGGAGGACAGAGTTCCTTTCACCATTCCTTCAATGTGCGGCTGCAGAGATAATGGTTGAGATTTCAAGTGTTTGCAGTAGTTGCTGATGGCTTTTATGCCAAAAACTCGCAAGCAAGTTGCTTGGCCCGCAGATAAGCTGGCTACAGTTGCTGTCATGAACCTAAGGAAGTGGCAACAGGTAAAAGAAATGAAACTAGTAGACGGCACTTATATAGAATTAACGGCTTGAAAACTAAAATATAGCAAACCAATAAATAAAACTCACTTATCGTTCAGCTCAGCAGGTAAAACATCACAAAATTTGGATGCCAGCAGGATCGATCGACCGATCAAAAATGGAGAAACTGCATTCAGCGTGTATCAAATTAATTAAACTTCGCTGGCTACTTTACTAATTTCATTACAAGAACAAATAATTAGAAAACAGCTGCATGCCTATCTAAGCATAACTTTAAATAATTTAATTTACAAGCAAGATGAACCAAAACCGGCAAATGTTTTTCTACAATTAATATGAATTCAAAAAACAAACATTTCAAATATTTCGAAAAATACAATGAAACCAAACTAAACAAATTTAACATTATACAAATTAAACACTTAAAAGCGAGGAAGTGAAAAGATCATTATGGAGACGTAAGGACCATTTTGTGGAAGGATGGGTAGGATGAAGTTCTGAAGGAGCCCCACGATGTCAAAATCTGGATTAGTTTTGCTGTCTGAAGATGAGCCAGCATCACCGACCCCACCATTGCACTCGTCTTCATCCGGATATAAAAACTCTCTCACCAAACTTATTGAGTGCAGAGTTGCTTCATACAACTTCCACCTGTTGTCGTTTGAAATTCATTAGTCTTTGCTGGCCCCAAAAACAAAATCATAAAAAAATTACATTGTCACAAGCGAACGATGCACATGCAAATATTCTTGAAAAAGAAATGAAGAGACGCACCAGCCAGGGTCATTATTCGTCCTCATGATATCAGCCTGCTGAATGAGCTTCTGTGAGCAGATGTGCAGTGCCGGGACAGACACCTTGAGGAACTGTTCAAACAGTGCCTGCTTGCCAGAAATCATAGCAAGATGGAAAATTTTTCTTGATCAAGTTTTAATAAATTGGTTGTGCGAAATTCAGACAACATTTATAATGAAAAGCACGACGCAACATACAACAACACGGCAAAACATACATGGCATACAGTACAACGAAACAATATACAATCACATACAAGTAGAATCTCACGACATGCAACTCGTAAATTATTCATGTACATATCCTCGCTTTCGTCGTCTATAAACGAGATTGGATTGGCTGTCCAATTTTGAATCTGACCAATTAAATATTATTTATTTATTTATTTAATCAATCAACTAACCAATCAATCAACCAATCAAACAAACAAACAAACAATCAATCAATCAATCAAACAAACAAACAACTCTCACCTGGTCGTCTGTTATTTGCAGACAGAGAACAATGTAATAGAACAAATTGCTGATTTCCTTCTTGACACGACCTTTGAACTTTGAAATTTTGATGAGGAGGTGAACGAGTTCAAACAAAGTTTCTATTAAATTTTCATAGCCCACTAATTCGCCTGTTTAAAGAGTAATACAAATCAACAGAGAACAATCGCAATTGAACAACATCACTGACGTAAAAAGATAATAAATAACGAGAGTGGTAAAAATAAAAATGATTGTTGAACTCACAACCAGAGCCAGCATTGGTCTCAGAGACTACAGACGTATTGACGACCTCACGGATGTACCTGCATGGGATGTGATGATGACTGCAATTAACTTGAGAGTTATGCAACAAGACCACAAGCAACACCACTGCAATGACAGGACAACAACAAAAATATACTAACACAATAACAACACAAAACAACAACTCACTGTTCAGTTGTGGTAATTAGTAGCACCCACATACTCTCCAGCAGTGGCAGCATCCATTCAACCATGTGATTAGGAAAGTTTCTTATTAAAACTGTGAAAGCCTGTCTTCGTTTTGTACAATTTATTTGTAAGCATGTTTGTTTGTAAGTATGTATGTATGCATGCATGCATGTATGTATGTATCTACAAATGTATGTATGTGTGTATATACGAACTTATGTATGCGTGTGTATGTATGTATTTGTACATGTACACTAACGACCTTAACAATTTCAATCTTCATGCCAGTGTCTGATATGAGGACATCATTAGTTTTGAGGTAGAAGAAGAATGATTGCACGAACTGGGGTAGGATTGGATACAGAAGAAGTCTTGCCGGGTTCTGGTGTCGTGGAAACTGTAGCGTGCAAATATAATTATCACTATGCACTGTTTGGCAATATTTATTTGTGATATTATACATTCGTGTAGTATAAAATGGTATTGAAGTATAGTGGTGTGCATTGGTGGTGTGTTTAGACAAAATATGTACACACCCACAAACACGCAAACCTTTTCAGTGTCGCATATTAGACCAATGAGGTTTGCGATGGTGGCAAAAATGTCCACTGCTCTTGATCTGGTCCTCACTTCAAATTTCTAAAAATATTATTTTAGATTAATGTCATTAATAATTAATCTAGCAAACTAAATTATAATTAATGTGAAGTTTCATCTACTTGATGGTCTTGGAGTATGTTGCATAACTGTGGGAAGATGGCAGGGACGACTTGGTTCAGCTGCTTGCCTGTAATTTCTCTACAGAATTCTGTTTTTCATTAATGATCGAATCTAATCATTTTTAAAAATCTCTACAACAAAGCATTGAAACTTTATCAAATGAAAGAACAAACAGACAGAAACAAACAGAGGAGCAGTAACACATTTCAGCAAAACTTAAGCAAATGATGATAAACTAAAACAAATGTTGGTAGACGAGGCAAACATAGCAGCAAGCAACAAGCAACCAACCGGTAAGAACCTTCATACAGCCATGCGTGTAGTCCGGGTGGCCACTGGATAGGCCTTCCACCAAGATGTCCAGTAGTTCTGGCCAGGTCTCAGGCCAGTCCCAGGTTGCCATTGCAGATATCACGTACGCAACACCCGACCTCCGAGTAGGAAGTTTAAATATATTAGGTAAATATCTTAAAATAACTTAAAGGAACAACATGCAATAAAGGTGTGTTCAACAAAAAGTCAATTTGACATGAATAGTGATGAAGATGATGACCATGCTGATGAAAATAATTACCTAATCTTTATGACTGGATCCTTCAAACCAACCACAATTATCTGTCTGATTTTGGCCATCACCTTGTTAGGTAGAATAAATAAATGTAAATTATGACTTAGTGAGTGCAAATCAAACATTTGTTTGATAAGAAATGAGAACATTTTAAAATGGTGAAAAGATAAATTAGGTGATAATGAAATCATCATTACCATCAAGCCAGACATTGCTAACTGATCAGATTATTAAATTAAAGTAAGCAGAGCAAAGAAGAATGACATGACAAAAAATTAAGCAATTAACAAAGCAAAATATTATGATGAAAAACCTCAGGTTTCATAGCAGGCTGAACAAACTTTTCACCACAAGATGACCAATGTGCTTCCACATGCTGTTTCAGAAGTACAGAAGCCAGCTGTCGAATGGCAAGGGGCCTACCAGCATCCACAACTATTTCAGCCAAACATAATCCAAAATAATCTGGAGTTGAGAGAAGAGTGTTTCAAAATTGACAAATAAATACTCTCTATTATAATTATTATTTCTTCTTTTTTTATTATTTATTATAAATTTTATAACCAGATGTGACCTGATTAAATAAAATTAAAAAAACCTTCAAAAACTTCAAAAGTCTTCAAATGATCCTCTCCAGAATTTCTTACTGCATGATCTGGAGACAAGATGGCGGTCAGACTTTCCACGAGGGCGTTCCTAATGGTGGAATGCTCATCATTTTCAGAGTTCTGTTGTTGCATGGTCTGGTGGCCCAAATGAAAGTAGAAGACTGGTTCTTGATCTAGCTACTAGTATTACTATTAAAAGTATTAAATTAAGCTAACTAACGTAAATTAGAATGCACTCTGCACTCTCCTGACGGTAGATGAAAATAAGTTTTTCAATATTTTGATGAAAAAAAAAGAACGTTTTCAACGCGTGCGGAAAAATTAAAGAAGAATTAGCAGGATTGTTGCATTAAAATTTATGCGCCAAACTCCAAACAACACCGAAATTAGCTAAATCTAGACAATTTTTAAGGAAAAAATATTATTTAAAAGCGAACTTTTTAATCCTAAAAAGTTGAATTTTTAGTCTGCTTTCCAGTCTGTTGAAAAATACAAATGTGCAACAAATATTTCCTTTGAACGAAATGTCAGACAACTGTTCAACCAATATTGAAATATATCTGGCAAGGAAACCATGCAGTTTTATAAGCCAAGAAGCCAAAAAGCCAAATAGGCCAACTCTAATCGAAAAGTTCCCTTTTCATAAATTTTTACCTCTGTATATTCCCCAAAAACATCTTCATTTAATATAATAATACTTTTGATTATAATATTTTCACTGTCACTAAACTTTCCTCCAATAATCCGGCTCTTCAGCAAACTTAAATATCAACGCTGTTAGTGCTGCTTGACTATTTTAGTATTTTCTAAAATGTCCCAATTGTGCTTTCTTTTTAGTTTTTAAAATTTTAAGTTTTTAGAGTTAAATAACTGCTCTTCCTTAATTATAAAATTACTTTGTAATTAGTACCGTTACTTATTTTTATTAATATTATTAATTTCAAGATTGTAGTATTATCAATACAAAAATTTTTATTTTTGTTAAATTACAAAATTTATCACAACAAAAATTAGTAAAAAGATGATCAACAGACTGTCAAAAAATGGTTCAAAATCAACATCCCAATTGTCTCACTCCATTGGTTGGTTCATTATTATTAATTATAAATTATTATATGATTATAGGATAGGGGTTGTCATTATTTTGATTAGTTTTGTTTGTTGTAGTTGTGATGATAGATTGGATTTTATTTGGTTGATTGCCAGTCTAAGGAAAAATAGAATCTTTTTTGTGATTTTCTCATTGAACTGTTCTTCAATTTGATTTTAGATGTGATTGACAGCTTCCTCCATTTGTGTGATCCTTTATAGTTTATAGACCATAATAAGAATAATTTAAAATCCATCTAATAAAATTAAAGTAACAAGATTTATTCTTATCATTAAGGATTAAGTATTATAGATTATAATAATATACTGATCATATATATTTGTATTTTATCATTAAATTATGTTATTAATAAATAATTAGTTTAAAAAATTGTGTTATTAAAAACTTTATAGAGTCAGCAACGGATGGAAATGTGAAAAAAACCGAGGACTGGTCGTTATTCATGGGCATATGCGATCTCATCAACACGTCAGAGGATGGGTGATTTAATTGATTTTATTATTTCTTCATCAATTTTCATTCTCTCATTCTATTTGTTTCATCATTTTATTTGGATTATATTGAAATGAGTAACTTTTCCAATCATCAGCCCCAAAGAAGCAATAAAGACATTCAAGAAGAAGTTTGCAACAAAGCACCAGCAAACAATTGTTCTCACTTTATCTGTAAGTTTCCTTCTTCTTAATCTTGAATTAATTTCCTATTAAAATTTGTTCTTAATGGCACATGAATGGTATGAAAATAAACAATTAAACAATGAACAGTTACTTGAAACGTGTGTGAAGAATTGTGGCAAGAGATTTCATGTTCAGTTAGCCACAAAAGACTTCCTACAGGATTTTATGAAGATCATCAACCCAAAGAATAATTACTCTGTTGCCCTCCAGAACACAGTGCTCGGTTTGCTACAGGTTGGCTTATTTTTCTACACTCCACTTAAATCTATTTTTCTCTGAGATTGTTTTTTTTTATTGTATATATTTCTCTCTTTTTTTAAACAAAATTAATAATTATTTCAACTTTTATCTGAGCAGACGTGGGCATTTGCATTTCAAAACAGTCCTGAGTTGAAGGAAGTGAACAAGACATACCAGGATTTGAAGGCCAAGAGAGTTGAGTTCCCACCCCTTGATGCTGACAAGGCATCTCCCGCTTACATCTCCCCACAAGTAACTTTCTTACATTTCACACAGACAGATGTTAAAATCTTTGTTTAAATTTTTTTAAGAGTGCATCGGTTTCTTCATGTGTCGTTGAGAGCAGTGGCCACAATCGACCTGTTAGTATCATCATCCAATCATTGCTTTCATCATTTTTACTTTTCTTTTCTTCTCTTCATTGTTTCTTCATAACAACAAGTTCATGATTTGAAACAATGATTAGCCACAAAATTCTCTCAACACATGCAACCTTGAATTCATTGAAAGCAGCAGACAGCAGCAGGCACAGCTCCTGCCTACCACGACCACCGTCACCACCTCCAACAACAACAACATCCAACTCAAACATCATCGTCGTCGTCGTCGTCACATCAGAATCAGCAAAAAATTCAAAAATTGAAATCCGAGTTGAGTGCAGTTCAACAGAACTGCAGAGTTTTTGGTGAACTTTTGACTGAGTTGTCACAAGGTGGAACATTGAATTCAGCCAGTGACCAACAGTTACTTGAGGTACATACAAACATACATAGGTACATACATATATACATGCATACATACATACATACATACATACATACATATAATCCATATAAATGATTATCAAATGTAATAATGATGAACATACAAAACAGGAGTTGAACAGAACTTGCAGAGACATGCAGAGAAGGATACTGGACTTGCTGCAAAACTCACAAATTGATGATGAGATTACGGGTGAGCCGTGATTACACGAGTGAATGATTGAATGAATTGATGAACAAACGAATTATTGAACGAACGAATGAATGATTGGATGAATAATAAGTGAGTGAAAAAAATGAACGAGCGCACCGCGTCTGAATGAATAGATTGAATGAACGAATTCTGAATGTTGAATGAAACAAATATTTCACATGTCGCTTGTTGAATAAGACACCTGATCTTTGTAAACTAATTCTTTATTCTTCTATGTATTTCTTCATTCATTTATTCATTCATTTCTTTATTATGACTCATTCTGTAATTCCGCTCATGTTATCGTTCATTTATTTTTAGCCACGTATTTATCTCTTCAATCTGTCATTAAGATTTTAATAGACGGTCTTTTCATCTGACCATCCATCCATCATTCATCCACTCTTTTATTTTTTCATTTATTCACTTATTCACTCATTCAGATGACCTGCTGCATATAAACGATGAACTAAACAACGAGTTCGTTCGCTACGATAGATACCATCACAGAATGGTCAAGAGTAACAGCCAAAATACTCTGCTGCCCACCGTCAGCTCCATTGCTTTTTAATTTATTCATATACCTATCACCTGATTGATAAATAATATAAATAATCATAACCTAACGTATCAAGGCCACTGGAGAGATTGAATCTACGGAAAAAGTGGCAGGAGCAGCAGCAGCAACAACCACCACCACCAACTCTTATGTGGCTGTCGCCAACCTCATTGACTTGAATGATAGTCCATCTATAGCTTCTGCTGGTGGGGGTGCAGCAGTTATCAACTCTAGGCTGAACAATCTTAGTTAGTATACTCTCGCGCTCTCTGCTTATTGACGTTGAATGCCATTGTTTGTTTGATAGCTGAAAATGACAAGTGGAATGAATTTTTTGAAAAATAAATACCTCCTCAATGACATTTTGAACTGCTATGCAGCTCTGCAAAGTGCACTGTACACTGCAACAGGCCAGGATCCATTCTCGCCTCTTCAGTCAGTTTTATATTCTTCTTCTTCTTCTTGATGTGTACGTCGTTGTTTGTATGTTTTGTATGTTGTTGCGATGTATGCGGTATAAACTTTTTTCTCATACGACCGCCAACAAACAAACAAACACACAAACAAACATGGACAGACATCAGAAAGATATTGTGCTGGATGCATCGTCATCGTCGTCCTACAACCCGGTAGGTAACTTTCGATTCAAACGTCCAATCACATTTGATCATTTAATTCACTTTTCATGGATATACGTACTGTTCAATGAGTAACTTTGTTGCTGTTGTTTGTTATTCAACTTTTCTACCCTGCTAGGAGTTGCTGAAGCAGGAAGAGGTCAACGAGATGGAGACCTGGCTGAAAATGAATGAAGTACGAACGTCATCTTTGTCGTTATTAATGTTAATTTTGTAGCACTGTGACGAGCGCACCTCGTATCCAACAGACACACAGAGATACACATCTACACAGTACACGCTGCACACATATGCAATATTTGTATGTTTGTACACGTAAAACACACAAGACATTTGTATGGATACCTGTACAGGGCTCAGAGAATGTAGGAACGTCAGGCGGAGAAGACCGCCAGAGCGCCTGCAACAACAGCAGCACAGCTACCAGTTCGGAATTTGAAAGATTTCTCGACAGAGCCTCACATGTCCCCAGTCAACCTAAAAATTAGCCAAAAAAGAGAACCTACTGTAAAAGTAGCAGTTGATCGATTAATGGATTACATTACAATTTGTAATTAATCATCTTACTAACACAAACAAACAATTTAATGTCAATTTTCTACCTGTGTAGGCTGCTGTTGTTGTTGAGATTAATTTGTTAGCTTCTTCTTCTTCTTCAGCATTTCTTGACTTCATTATTATTATTAACCGTTAAAACCCATCGTTAATTCTTACAACTTTGCCATTACATATATTTATTGCTTTTCAACATTCCATTCATAATTGTTCAGTGAATTTATTTGTGTAATGCATTCTAAAGTTCATTTTATTTACCATCCTGCAACTTTTAGATAATCATGTCGAGTTAATTTAACCAATTTTCATCGCGTAGTAAATTAACTTTCGTAACGAGTGAACAATTTTATCACCTAGTTTCTCAATTAAGTTCAATATTTCTATTCTTTTTCTAAAACCGAATTTCAAGCAGCTTTTAAATGTTTATGTGCATGATGTTTTTAAATGTGATTGTTTGTACTTTCAAATTCAACTACTCTGTCATTCATGAATGAATGCATGGGTAAATGAATGAATGAACGAAAGAACGAATCAATAAGTGAAGTGAATGAATGAACGAAAGAACGAATCAATAAGTGAACGAATGAATGAATGAGTGAGCAAATCACGCACCACACGTTGTAATATTTTTTCATACTATTTAAAATATCATATTTGAATAATTAACAAACAACACGTAGGACATGCATACGAATCTGATGAAATTTTGTTGAAATCATTTGAATCACGATCGACACACACACACACACACACACACAAACGAACACACACAGAGAGATATCATTCAAAATGCACAATCAGCTTTACTCGCCATACAGATAAGATGTTCAAATCAACAAAGACTATCAGACAAACGACGAAGCAATCACAAATTTAATTACAGTTGCTATTGAGTTCGATTGAATAAAAATTTTAAAAAAATATTTGAAAAAACGTATTATCTTGACATAATGAAAATGAATGATGAAGGCAAATATGAAGAGGAAAATAGAGAGATAGATAGATAGATAGAGAGAGAGAAAGAGAGAGAGAGAGAGAGAGAGAGAGAGAGATCAAATGATATAAATTACATTAAAACAGTTACCAAGGTACGAACTTTGTATAGTAAAAATACAACTACTGATGTGAAAAAATTAAACAAGATCAACCAGTTGTGATCATTTCTTCTTTTTAATGAGTTTGCGAGTGTTCAGTTTTCACGTTTTCATCATGATCGTTCACACGTACACTGAGATACTTGAACACACATACACACACACACATACATTAATACATATGTACTAAGGCGTAGATAGCTAAACAGTAAAAATTAATAAAAAAGTATGTTGCAGTTGTTTTTGCTAAACGTAACATAACTAAGTTGACATTAACACAGTAACAAGCGTGTGTGTGTGTTTAATTGTGTGTATGTTTGTTTGTATGTGTGTTTGTTTGTAGAGAGTGTTTAATTGTATGTATGTATGTAGAGAGTGTAGTGAAACATAGCAGGTACGTACGTACATGATGACGAAAAGGCACATGGGCTGCTGTCATCATCAGACAGCAGCCGATCCTATTTATGTTAGTAATCACTTGATCAACTTACAAATAAAAATGTAGAAATTTAAAAAGATGCAAGTCTTCAAAGCTTAAATACAAAATGATGAAATATTTTAAATACTTTTGTACAATCAGCATTTGAGGAAGGCACTAAATTAATGAAGCTAGCCTATCGCGACCGAAACCAACAGGTGCATCCATCGAGTAAGGCCGCCCACCTAACAATCGCACGGATAATAGCAGAAACTAGAAGAGGCACGGTAAAAATACTTGATTCTTCTTGCATCACTTGAAACTGAACCACAGTGAAGTGCATTCTAATATACAAATCACATTATATGCTTGTATACATGTGTATATATACATTTCTTTATTCCTCTATATACATAAATACATACATACATAGATTATTTATATATTTATATAAGAATTGATATATACACAACAGCTGTATTCAAATTTGACTTGTATGTTTATCTCAATTAAATTCAAATTCACACACACACACTCACACGCACGCACACACACATTTGTTAGTGTCCATTCAAAGACATATCACATATCACCTGATTAAATGCCACCAACATATTAACAAAATGTTACACAGGCACTTATTTTATATAGACACATGTGCACAAAATGCACTCAGCAAATACACATGCACGTGTAACAGACGCTCTAAAAACGATCATTAAAATAGAAATATACAAAAATATAAGCGGTTTATCGTCATCTTGTTCAATTAAATAACTTTACAATTAAAAAAGAAATAAACCAATCAATTAATTGACCAATTAATCAATTATAAATGCACGTACAAGGCACGATATAAACGGAAAATATAATTAAATTATCATTAACTAACTTACAAATGTGTATAAAATGGTACACTTGCATCATTAAATGGTACAAATTAACTCTTATTTTAACTTGTATATATATACACACAGACACACGCACACACACAGACACGCACACACACACAGAGCAGTCATCGCCACCTTATCTTACATTCTGTGGGGTTTAGGTGAGAAAAAAAAAGAGAAAAATTATTACAGCATTAACAACGAAATTATTTACAATTTTTTCCATGACTCCCACACACGCACACACACACGCACGCACACACACACATACATACAAACGAAAGAAGAAAGCAGTAACGTGTAAAAAATTATTCCAAAATAACATTAGTGCAGTCGTTAATCATCTTCCCTACATACAAAATACAACAGATTACAACACCATATAACATATACAATGGCGGACATAAAATACATACAATTCAATGCACACTACACAAATATACAATACAATACACGAACAGAAAGATAAGGCAAAAAATATTCACGTGTAAGAAGAACGAACGAATGAAGAGGAAATTAAAAAAAAATATAGACATCACTTCGCAGGTTACAAATATAAACGTTATGAACAATTTTGTACACGCGGATGCAATGCGAATACACAAACACGTAGGTGTACACATCAGCAATTGTACAAATATGTACAAATAATTAATACGCACATACGTGCGCATGTTCAAGGAAATATAACTGTCAGTTGCATTGGAGTGATCAAATCATGTGCAAACTCTTGAAAATATGCATTAGGACATTTCATTTTTAAAGAGAAATAGAGGGAGAGAGAGAGAAAGATGAGAGAGAAAGAGAGAGAGAGAAGAGAGAGAGAGAGAAGAGAATAAAACATCGGAGTTATAAAATAAAAATGATCTTTGATTAGAAGCACCATGCCTTGCAAGACTTTTGATGGTGATGATAATAAACAAACAAAAACAATGCAGACGAAAAAATTTGCCGCTGATTCACAATGACAAATCGTTATTATGAAATCAATACATCATTATTACCATAATTCATTTCACAGTTCATTCATTCATCTAACGTTTAATCATAATTCACAATTCGTTTTAATATTTCAATTGACAATTAGTTGAATGACTCATCCGCTCATTGGTACATCTACTCAATCAATCAATCAATCAATCAATCAATCAATCAATCAATCAATCAATCAATCAATCAATCAATCAATCAATCAATCAATCAATCAATCAATCAATCAATCAATCAATCAATCAATCAATCAATCAATCAATCAATCAATCAATCAATCAATCAATCAATCAATCAATCAATCAATCAATCAATCATTAACGATGATTCTGGTTATCAGATCAATTAATTGCTATCAAATATCACAAATATTTTAAATAAGAACAACAGAAAAACAAGAAGTGGAAGAAGAAGAAAAAGAAGATGAATGATGTTTATACAATACATGAGCACATCTGAGCGCTCATAAATCAATCCAGCCATCATGAAGAAAAACACAATAACAGCACTACAACAGCAACGACAACCACCACCACCAACAACAACAACAACAACCAACAACAACTACCAACAACAACCACCAACAACAACAACAACCACCAACAACAACCACCACCAACAACAACCACCAACAACAACAACCACCAACAACAACCACCAACAACAACCACCAACAACAACAACAACCAACAACAACAACCAACAACAACAACCAACAACAACAACCAACAACAACAGACTAAGGCGGAAAGTACGCATTTATAGTAGTAAACAATCAGCCAAATGAAGATATAGAGTTAACCCATTTAATTGACAACTACGTAGAACACACACCAAGATTGCCAGCAGGCACGTGTAGGCACTTAATAACACACACACACACACACACAAACAAACAAACAAACACACACAAATACATACAAACAACAAAACAATACAACACTCAACTGTTTACACTACAACACTTAATAGCACCAAGAATGCAACAAAGTTCTCATGTAGTCGTATCTTCTTCTTCTCAGATCGGTTTGAATATTTATGAGTTCAGCAAACTTAACCAGTAGACTTTTCTCTATACAGAACGTAGTGCTGCTATTCGTTAGCTACAGTCGCCAATAAAATATTGAAGTAGAAGCTGAAGTATCAGCAGCAGCAGTGTAGTAATTAATTGGTAGTAGGAACACTTAAATGGAGCCAGCCAGCCTAAGACAAACAACAAACAGTTAAAGCTAGCTAATGTCACAGAACTTGTTGCACTTTCACCCTAAACAAAACCAGTACCACAAGTAAGTAAACAACAACAAACCAACAACCAACCAATCAACCAGCAAGCCAGCCAGCCGACGGCAAGACAACAACAACAAAACCAGCACAAAATTCAAGACAAAAATATGAATCTAGGTTAAATATGCGCTGCTAAGCTAATCAAAACCAATTGCAGGATTGTCTGTTTGTGCATGTATGTGTGTGAGTGTGTTTGTGTCTCTCTGTCTCTCATCTACCTGCTAGGATAATTATGCGACATTCATAATAAAACTCAGACATAAAACCGTCACACATATAACAGGTACACAGATATAAATTCATTCACGAAACACATGATGCTTGCACTCAACTTATACATTCAACCAACATAATATGTGTAGATATATATATATATAGCTACTTAAATAAGTAAAAATTTGTTAAATTAGTAGGCCGAAGAATCACCATCATTCACAACAGAATGGCTGTCATCACTGATAGCAATCAGCACCATTCCATCACATCACATCATCATCGTCGTCGTCATCATCTTTATTGTTATCAGGACTCTTTGACCAGTCTGTAGATGTGATGCTGGGCTCCGTGTTCATTGGTGGAGACTTCGAAGACGTAGGCGACACAGAGTAGTGTTTCCTGGGTCTCTCTGTGAGCCACGACCTTCACATTGATACGTGCCATTAATTAATTAATTACTGCCACAAAAGACATTACAATACATGTGATGTGTTATTGTAATGTGTTACAGCAAAAATGCGGTGCACTATGCAGTACCTGCAATATGGTGAAGTTCTCGAGCACGCTGTTCATCATGTACTTCTCGGGCAATGTTTTGAGTTTGTGTATGAAGTTGATGAGGTACTCACACATTGGCGACCTGTGTATTCTGTACGTGAACTTGCAGTTCTCCGCATTTGCATACTCCGTCTGTGTGTGTGTGTGTGATTGTGTGTGATTATGTGCGTGTGTGTATGTTTTTGATTAATTGACCAACGGCATATAGGCAGCCCTATACGCATTCATCTCAATCAATTTCAGTAAATAATTGAGAGCATATAGAAGCAACAACCTCAACTTTCTCGACAACTTGCTTGCCGAACGAGCAGACCTTCGTAGAGCACTGTACGACCATGTCTGTGTCACTCTCATATCTGGAAATAAACAACCATACAACGATACACACAATGATATGCATGCAGAAATAAGTAATTTTAACTAATATAACTGTCTTAAATGATGGCCAGTTTTATACTGTACAAAATTCAAAGTATCAATACTATAAAGAGAGAGATATAAATTTGGAAGTTACTTACAAACTAGATATGCCATAGAAGCCAGCATTGCTGGGCAGATTCGTGTTCACATCTGCCTGTTAATATTGTTGATGATGGCTTTGATGATGACGCTCATGTTTGATTAGTTAGTTAAGTGTATTGGTGTGCTGTTGGAGTTATTGTCAATCTGGTTCGTGTTTAAAGTTGTAATAGCCAGAAGAGATTTATAAATGATTAAACTCTCCTTACACTACACTTACAATGGATGTCTAATCTTCAACTGAATAGACAGAACGAGAGAGAGATAGATAGATAGAGAGAGAGAGAGAGAGAGAGAGAGAGAGAGAGAGAGAGAGAGAGAGAGAGAGAGAGAGACGGTGAGAACCAGAGAGAAATAAAAGATAAGAAAAGAGATAAGAAAGCAAGAAAACGAAGAGATTGAAAGCCTCTATGAATTTTATAGTTAACTTGGGCCAAACACTTGAGGCAAAACATGAAGTAAAAATATGAATGGAAAAATAACACTAATAGTGCTATTAGTAGTATGACTTGTTATTACTATTATTATTGAAAGCATCATTATTAACACAAATATTATTCACTTGGTAACATTTTTCTTAAAAAAAAAAAAACCACTCATTCAAGTTTAATTGAATGCCAAGTCAACAGCTTGCATTATAAATTTGGAATTAATTAAACTTCTCAAGTAAAAAAAATATAACAACTTGATCAGCATAACACCAATGACAGCATCATAACAGCAACAAAAACACATCAACACAAACAAAACAACGATATAATGTCGTGTTTTGTTGTTGTCTCCATCAACAACACAACCACCGCACAACAACAACAACAACAACAACACAACAATAACAACGCAACAACAACAACGCAGTGACAACAGCTCAAAACCAGCAAGAGGACACCGACCCAAAATTTGACGAGAAAGAATGCAGACTGAGGTCCCTGGTCAAAGAGCTCCTTCAAACCACCCTTCTTATTTGGGAACTTGTCTGAAATCTGGCATATGTCTACTGACTGTATGTACATGGAGAGGAGAGAGAGATTACAGATAATTAAATAGAACTTATTAACTAACTAATGGGTAATTATCACTTCTAAAAAGGCTCACAACTGACATGCTATGATGATGACAAATAAAACAATGTCAGGATGGCATATAGTAATTAATGCTGCTGTGATGACTGAAATGACTGAATGATAATGACACTGAATGATAATATAGCAGCTATTTATAGCAGCAGTGATTGACGACAGACACGTACACACAAACAACGTACACACAATCAAACAACTAGGACCTGTACTCACTTCTAAAAAGGGATCGTTATAACTCACAATGCTGTTGATGTGTACGAATAAATGGCGATGGAGCTGCAAGTAGAGGAAGGATGAACAAGTAAGTAACAAGGCAGTACACACGCACACACACTAATTCACACACACACACACACACACACACGCATGCACGCACACACAGACTAACAGTTTCACCCTCCTGATGTTCTTGAAATGCAGAGAAATCGACCAATCGCAGCTTGGGACCAGCTATGCTCCGCCCCTTGTAAGCGGGTTCAATAGGCAAACTCATTGTAATTGATGGGGAACTCTTTTCTTGAAAGGTGTAAGGGAGATTTAGTGATGTCGTTGTGGCGCTGTTGTTTGCGTTGTTGCTGCTGTTTGCATTGTTGGTGATGGCCGTCTGAGGAAATGTCGGTTTCAATCTGATCAGGGAAATAAGATCCAAATTTATGAATAAGATAGCAAGGTAGCAAAAACTTCTTAAGAACATGAATGAATTAACAAAGTTTTAATAATAATAATTAATAATTAATTAATTATTAATTAATAATTAATTAATAATTATTAATTAACTTGAATGAATGCGTGTATGAACTTATGAGAAGTAGAATGAAGAAACGTACTCGGGCGTGTGTGAAGGTGGTGTGATGTTCCAGAGAGTCGGCTGGTAGGCAGTAAACTGGTCGACCATCATGTTAGCGTTGATAGAGTTAGGCAGAAGATTGTTAGTGACAGCCCCCGTGGTGAGATTTTTGTGGTGGAGAGCGTTGGCCGACACAATTTGTGATGAGGACATGGTTGAAAGGCTCTGAAGAACTTTCTCTTTTGTTGATGGGTCCTAAGTGGATGAAAAATTATTATCATTTCCTAATTTAAAGTCCTTTGTTATTTTTATCTTGCATAATAAGTTGATCAACACATTTATTTTCCCTTTCAAC